GTGATAATCCAAGGGGGCAGCCTTAAATATACTCTAACAAAATTTTGTAACATTTCATCCCTAGTTTTTCATTATTTAAAAAAAATCAGAAATTTCTGAAACATGCCAAGAAAGTTACACTGTAGATTTGTCACAAATCTATGGTCAAGTTCCTCTTCCTTAGTAACATTTTACCCAGAGAAGTGTCAATGAGGGCCAAACCATGCGCAAAATTTACACCTGAAAAAAAGTATCATAGTTTTTGCAATAAAGTAAATCACATCTAAAAAAAGGGGGGGCAAGAAGCACAATCACAAATTTTTAACAGAAAATGCGTTTTCAAACAGCTAAAATTGTTTCACAAATTTTCCTGTGGGTATAATACAAATAACAAATGTAACAACAAAATATATTATACCAACAGAGCCTGACTGACTAGAAAGGATGGTGAGAATAATGGAGGAATTGTCTGGGATCAGCTCAGAAAGTACTTTATCGTATAATCTACATCCGGAGGATCATACATTGCACTGTAAAAAGTGTTTCCATATTTTGACAAGATCATTGAAATATTAACTATCTCGTATCCAAGGAGGAAAGTAGGCTAGATTAAAGTGGTCACTTAACATAAATGGCCACTCTACCTCCTTTATGTCTGATTCTATTGCATCTTTAGTTTTTATAGTTCATTATTTTAATACTGTTGCATGAGATTTGCAAAAGTCTGTGTTATTAATGTGATGTCAGTATCATAATCAAGCATAAGTTGATGAAATTCATCCACTTTGACAGGCAGTAAGCATTCCATACCATCATTCTGATTTTATGTACTTTTTTGAGAAGCTTACTCATGATTGGCTTTTGGTGATATTTCTGTTTTAGGTACATTAACTCCTTGCATCTTCATGATATGGGTTGCAAGTTCAGAAATTCCTGAGTTTTTTTATAAATGAAACTACTGTTTGCAAGTCTTGTAGGATTTCCTTTGCTTCCGTAAGTTCATTGATTGGTGATTGTAGTTTACTCAACGATGCAAGGGCTGCAGCATAAAATATGTCCACTGCAAAATGTTCTTGATAAGGCTTCACATGGTCTTTAATTTTTTTTTCTCCTTCGATAGGGACTTCTCACACCCATGGAAGTTCGATGTGCGAGCAGCTGATGCAAGTACGATCCACTTCTTTAGACTTTAGACTACTATATCATTCTGATATGAGAAATGTCCTGCTTCCCATTTTAGACAGTGCACTTGAGAGTGATTAAAGGCCTTGACATATAAACAGCGATTAGGGCCCTTGTGTCTGTAATATTCCTCCATGGAGATTTTAAAGTTTTGCGAGAACCGTTGTTTCATTAGATGGTCTTGGTTCTCCTTCTTGTCCAGCATCATGAGAAAGAGGGAAGGGGAATTTTCTCACTGTTGCCCCTTCTAATCAGCTGCATTATAGTGTTTATGGGATATTCAGTATCAAAGAGATCTTGCATTATTTGTTCTGTGTCCTTTGTGGTGGAAATGCTTCTTATAATCACCTTGACCTTTCTTCTGAGAGCGGGAAGCAGTTGAATTTGCACTTATTTTTTAACGTGGTTATAAGAGTTTTGTAAACGCATGAATCATCCACGTTCAGGATATAATGTTTCTCAGTAATTATCTTTTCACACCTCTCATTTTTGAATATTTTCTTCTTGAAGATCATTGTATGGATGTTCTTCCAGCTGAATCTGGTGTCTTTAATTGTAACAAGAGGAATACAAGCCACTTGTTTGGGGTTGTGAAATCCATCTTGATTTTCTTGGGTAGCATTCTTATTGCTGTTTAGCTTTTCTTGCAGCATCACAAACTTTCATTGTCAGGTTAACAGACTCTTTCCTTAGTCTTTTTGGTTAGTGACCAATACTTTTATCTTCTCTCTTCTCACTGTTGGAATCTGAACTTTCATCGAGTGCCTTATAGCAGCTGTTCATCGTTTGAATTATCTGGGCTGTGGGAGTCATCAGATTTTAGCAGTTTCGTCATCCACAGGTTGCTGTTCAGTGTTACCTGGTTGCTTTGAAGAGCTTGCAGAGTGCAAGCTCATCTGTGGATGCTCATTCTTGCTTCTGCAGGAAATCGTAACGAGCAAGCATTTTAAAGTATTTAAAGAAATCAAAGTCACGTTCTTCAGCAGCCACAAGAGAATCATTGCTTTTGTATATAACTTTCAATTTCATGACCTTTGGAGCAATAAAGTAAAATTGCTCTATAATGCAGACATCAGTAGAAAATTTAATAAAACAGTAAGGGCCGCTAGGCCTTTTTATGGTGCTCCGAACCGAATTTCAAGCACCAACCTCCTATAAGCGCCTTACAATAACGCGAAAAGAAAATTAATCATTGATCAGGAAAAACACAGAGTGAGGGGAACAGCTTTTAAGGTGGAGTGCTTTTAAGGAGGTAGACGTTAGTGCCATGCCCATTAGTCGCATTATGCATTGCATACACTTGACATACAAGTTCAATCTCTGGATGCTACATGAGCTGACTCAAGCAGATAAGCATTTAAGTCTGCACTAATCTGCTCGAATATCAACACAAGGACAAAAGTCTGGACTGGATCATTGCTTGTAATGAAAAGTGTATTTACTTCAACAACATTTGGTGTATTTACTTCAACAACATCTTGTATCTGGGGGGATTTTCATGGTAATATCCACAAAGAGTGTCTGGAAAAAAGTAAAACCCTCGACAGCAGTCCATGTTGACGCTTCCGTCAAGGAATAACATCGAACTGAGTTTGAAAAACTACCAAAACATTGGCAGAAAACCATAGATTTGGGTGGTGATTACCAGCCACACTAAAGATACTACTTTCATGTTTTTTTTCTAACTTTATTGAGAATGTTTTTTTGGAAGAAAACCTTTGTTACGACCAGATATTGACCCCAAAAGATAGCTTGTTTTTCCACCTATTACTTAAGAGTCAATAACTGAAATGGTCAGAGCTGAGGGGAAAAGAACCATAATTAATTTACTGTTGTTAAGTAGTTGTAGGAGTTTCAGTATCGTGCATCAGCCAATGTCTGGTTTAGAACTCCAACTTACCTCAAGAAAGCCTAATTTGTCTTAGTAATATTAACTATAACTTCTGGCGTGGAAAAGGTCAAATATTTCATTTCCAAAACTAAGAATGGAAGAAATAAACTGCAATAAAATAATTTTAAAATTTTATGAATAAATAATTAACAAATTTAAGACATTATGCTATATGTGGCTACAAACCCTCAGAAAGTGCAACAGATATTGCTGCATAACGTTCTGCCTATACCATCGAAGAAATTGGAATTAGAACGTATTTTTCAAAGATGGGTACTTACGTATTATCGCAACCAGTTGGCGCGATTTGTAAGTTTGAGTAAAAAAGTATGAATAGAAAGAAAATGTACATTTATTTAATACAGTTTTTTATATTATTTTGTTTTAAAATATAAAATAGCAATTAAACCCTTTCGGTTTCGAATTTGAATAAGTTGCAGAATTATTTTTTTGGGCGGAAATCTTTTGGCTGTTGCTTTTAGCACTGATTGAAAACCGTCTTCGCCATTAATAGCTTGAGCTTGGCGCCATATAAATTCGATAAGGTATGAGTCAAGATGATGAGGGGCTTTTCCTCTCTGTTTTTTGTTGCGCCATTTGGCTGAGCCCCACATGCGCTCTACATGTTGTGTGTGAACACCCGTGTTGGACAAAGTGTACAAAGTTATATTTGTGATTAACAGTTCCATGCAGAAATCCAGCATTTTCGAACTCACTTGTATTGTATCCTTTCCAGCAATCCGAATAAATGATGCTTCCTTCCTTGATATTTTCGCAAATTTTTTCCATGAGGGTAATGGCGTTTCTGTTAGGTACAGTAACCAAAAAAGTCTCTTTCTTTTCTCGGCAAATTCCGCCGAAAACCCATTGCTGTGGTAGTACACGCTTAGTGTTATTTTTTCTTTTTACAAAACTACGTATAACACGTAGGGTTGTCATAAGTAGGGTCACCAAATTTGGCGATTTATGTGAATTTTGGCCTGGTTGCGTTAATACGTAAGTACCCAAAGATGTATAGAGACTTTACAAGCACCTAGTATATTTATTAATGCATAATATGATTGCATTTATAAATGTGTTGAGTCATCAGGAATTAATTAATTTTTTGTAAGTCAGGAAATTGAAGAAATTCACAATGTCCTCACTGGAATTTGAACTACAGATCTCCCAAATATGCATTGAGCACATGCCCAGTTACATCACAAAGGCATTCAGAAAGGAGGAAGAAAATACCTTATTTACTTCCCCTTTTAAAGGGTGACTGGGGATTAGGGGAACCATTTGTCAAATCCTGGTTGTGATAAATGATTGTTCATCACCTTTTAATTTGGGCATCAATTTCTAGTTTTTGTAGAGTCATTAGGATATTTTTTAAGTAAAGAAACGGCGGAAACCTGTAGTGCCTTCGCCGGAATTTGAACTCTTGAAATGTCGGATATGCTATCGAGCATGCTTTCAGTTACAACACGAAGGCATGTAGAAAGGAGGAGAAAATACCTTTTAGGTATAAATAAGGAAGGCCTTGTATTGATTTTGCTGTAAGATATTATGTCTGTTGTTAACTTTCTTAGCCATTTTCATCTCATGGTTCCAGTTGCTATTGACTAATTAAGCTGTTTTTTCGAAGAGCATTGTATTACAGTTTAAGTCAACCTGTCTGAAGTGACAAATCCTGACCCCTTAATTATGATAAGTCCCCTTCCCTTATCTTACTTGACAAATTATTTTGACACTGAATAAATTTTTTTCAATTTAAACTCTTCGGTAGCTTAATATACACGTTTTAAGACTTCAAAAAAATTTTTTTTAAAATTTTATATAAATTACTTTATGTCAGTTATTTTCAATAAATATAAACAGTTTTTACTTTTTATTAATCATAGAAGCTTAGCTGAAATATTTAGTATAAATTGTAATGTACTTATTTTGTGCTTATATTTTGTATTAGACCTGGTAGTCTGAAGGATCCTGAAATAGCTGAACTTTTTGATAAAGAAGACCCTGAAAAAATATTCATAGACCTTCGTGAAATTGGCCATGGAAGTTTTGGTGCTGTATATTATGTATGTTATTTTATAGTTCTCTTTTAACTTTTTTATGATCAACATTTTTGTGAGTACAAAGAATTACATACAGTAGACTCTCTATTAGCTGGATAATAAACTAAGTGGTGAAACAGCCCTAGAGGGCCATGCCCTGCAGTGCCCCGATATCTGCTGTCTTCACTGTGGGCCCCAGGATGCATGAGCATATCCTGTTCATTTGGTCATTTTATTGACCCACTTAAAAGAAGGACTGAGTCAACCTTGCCCAGCCCAGGGGTGGGAGGTCGAAACCCCGGACCTGTGATGTTGCTGAGCAACAGGCTAGCCACTGCACCACTGGGCGTTTTAACTCGGTAATTCTGAAGCAATATCCACGGTCAACTCGACCATAGTTGAAAGAATAGGGAAAGGGGAATAATCTAAATAGTATTAATTAACAGAAAAATAACTATTAATAGTTTAAATGCATTTTAAACAGTTTAATTTAGGAACGAAGTTCATTTGATTATATGAATTAATTGTTAATTTAGCGTTGAAATCAAGTTTAGTGTACTTAAATGTAGAATTATTTTTTTGTATCGCTCTTCAGTTTTGATTGGAGCAATAGATTAATGGCTTTCTATTAAGTTTATTTTTGTGATATAGGAAATTATTTTATGCGGCTTATTTAAAAATATTTATGTGTTCGAGCTTATGTACAATTCAATTACATACTGTTGTGGATAAAACAATTTTTAAATATTGTGATGTCATCTATCTGATGCATATCCTTCCCCATTTTGCATTTCCCGTAGAAATTTGTATTCTGATCATGTGTAATATTAACTTTTTATAATTCGACAATAAATGAACTTAACATTTTCTTACACAAAGCCCAGCCAATCTGCAATCCATTTAATATGCTTCTACAGTCATATTCAAGTAGTAGGAAATTGCCATCATTGTGATAAAACATATATATTCATACTCCCAGGTAACTGTATTTTAAATACTATTTTTCTCTAAATATGTGAAGAAACATGCTGCTATTAAAAAAAAAAAAAAAAAAAAAAAAAAAAATTGCTGTTTGGCCTCTAAGGATTATTAATTTTTTGTGTAATTGAATGGATCTAAAGATATAAAATTATGTGTAATTATTCCCTTTTTTATCTCCTTGTATGAAGTAAAGGAAGTATTGTAATCGCGAAAAATTTCAGGTATCGTATTTCAATGAAAATATCCATTTTGACTACTCTCAAATCCATTTGAACAATGTTTTTATGTGAGATCTATACATACAAGTGGAATAAAGGACTCGTTTTTGTTTTTTCCCCGAAATGGGCTCAGAAGAGATTTTTTCATGACATCTGTACATACATATGTATCTCGCATAACTCAAAAAGGAGTAGTCATCAAATATTGAAATTTTGAATATGGAACTGTTATAACATGTAGTTGTGCACCTCCCTTGTTTGTTGCAATCTGCCTCACTAAAATTATGTTGTTTACATTTGAGATTCGTAGTAGAATAGGGAATTAAGTTAATTGGTGCACCAATTTCAGTGTCTTTTTCTCTAGTGTGGCCAAAAGTTTTGTGCATCAAAAATTTTGATTTCTTGCCCTCTAGCTGAACTGTTTGTTTTTGTATACAAACTCTAATTTTAGTTAATTTTTTTTAAATGTATTTGGTGTTTTAGATTTTTCTACATTTTACAATTTTTAATGAATATTGAGTGTTTATGTAGTTTTGCCTTGCCGAAAAGTGAGAACTGAATTGTTTGAATAGAATCTAATGAAATTCAAGGAAATATGTTTAAAATGAAGTGCAGCAAAAAAATGTGTATAATTTAGTAGGCCACGTATGGAAGTCGTGCTGTCCACATCAGATATTTTTTCATGTTAAAGTTTTTTTTTTTTCCCTTTATTTCAATTTGCTTGTGCAGTTAGTTTAAAAATTTGAATAATAATACAGTCAAAAGTCTTTAATCCGGACTCATCGGGACTTCGATGATTCCGGATTATCGGTTTTTCCGGATTATAGATCATCACCTTAAATCTGGTAAGATGGCATGCAGAAATTATAAAATTAAAAATATGGAATCGTAATTTATGAAATAAAGAGCAATTATGATCTAAAGGGTATCAAAATTTACAAAAAAAAAAAAAAAAAAAAAAAAAAAAGCTTAATATTTATTTGTTTACTTTATTAAACATTTCTTTCAATGCACGCATGCGTAAAGCATACATTAGGCATAATCGAAATTAGAAAATTGCAACCAGAAAACTATTTGATGTGTATTCATGATATTTATAATGACGAGGAATTTGATTTAAATCATATCAAACAGAGTACATCGAGATGAAACACTACATTTAGTAAGGAATTATGAGCCGAATAAAATAATAACATCTGCCCTGAAGATAAGGATAGTGCTGACAGATCAACTTCCAGTTCATTGCGTGCCGCGACGTTTCCCCCCCCCACCCCCGCAGAGCAGCGTGAAATTGATAAACAGATTTCGGAATGGTTAGAAAAACAAAGGATATGCCTTTATCCATTTTTTGCAGCAATTCCACTTTTTGTTTGATGGACATCGCAGATCCTTTTAGATCCTTTGAAGATCCTTTGGCAGCTTAAGAATCAGAAATTCTCTTTGACATAATCAAAAGTTCAAGCTTACTTTTTATAAAATTGCTCTAACAGTCTGCAAAAAATAATAAGCCGGATCCAATTTGAAGATTAAGGAACAATGTAATCTGCAACATTAACTGAAATTATAGAATAATTAGATAATTTTAGCTTAGCTTATACCGTCTGTTATACATTAAAAGCGCATGTGTAAACACATGTGTGTTACACTTACGCAAACATGCATGTGTAAACACATTAATGCGTTTACACATGCGCAGAAAGTTTGTAGCTTTGAGGTCCGGATTATTGATCGTTCCAGATTAACAACTTTTGACTGTACATGTAAAAACAATTTTCTGTGAAACATTTTAAGCATTTAACATTATCGTAAATATAGTATGTAACAGATAAATGTTTTTTCTTCCCCCTTTTTGAAATAAACATTTCATGTATAGGCTAATTGAAAGGTTTTGAAACTGATTCTTTTATTTGAAATTGGATGATCCTGCTGGCCCTGCATTTTCTTCTTTAAATTTATATCCCTCATATTGAATTACATTTGATGCAGCATTTTATAAATAGTCCAGAAACTTAAACTGTTTTGTGATATCTTCTATATTACTGTAGGTATGGTATTTTTCACTTCTTCATCTGAAGAAATCTTCTACTCACTGAGTTGCCCTTTCAGTGCTGAAAACATCCAAAAACCATGTCATCAAATCTGAGTTATATGTAAAGTATTTTAGCATTTATAGATTGATTTCAGTGTTGCCAATGCTGTAGCAGCAACATGCAGCCGCACATTATCTTGGCCTAAACCATCTTTTTTTTTTTATCTGATTTGGTCTTTTCTTCCTGATAATTCCATGCAAATGGTTTTTAAAGTCTTTTCTAAAAATCACTGTTTACTCACTGCCAATCGGTATAAAATATTGATATCCATAATATCAATAAATAACCTGCCATAATGTGATTTGATGGTCACTTGCATATTACCACTTTGAAATGCTGGATTGTAGGTAAATATTTCATCACGTAATGCCTACATTCCAAGTATTTTCATGACCACCCTCTTCCTAAGTTTACAATTAAATTCAATCACATCTCTACTGTATAGTCAAAGACATGTCACACACATGTATTATGACAAGCATACTGGGTGCTTAATGGGATTAAATACTGAATGCCTGTCCAACTTCAGATTCAATTCAAATAAGCCAATGTCTAAACCAACTACAGAGTTGTTATGTTTAAAAACAAAACAAAAAAAAAAAAAAAAAAAAAAAAAAAAAAAGAAGAAGAAGATAGAGAGAAATAGAGGCAGTTTCAAAATCTATCAGTTAGCTTTTGTACAATGTCATTTAATGATTATTACTTATATTCTTCTATATACCTTCTTAGGCTAGGAATAATGTTACAAAAGAAGTTGTTGCCATCAAAAAAATGTCCTTTACTGGAAAACAATCTGCAGAGGTAAGAATTAATGACTGATGTTATTTAATCTTAATAAATATTTGATGTTAAAATAAATCAGATCTGATTAAATGTATCTTTATACTTGAGTGTGTCTTGTCTTAATCCCTTTATAACCTGTTTGAGGACTTTTTTAAATATAGATTTCTTTCTCTATCATTTGCTATTCCACTGTTTCTACCTTTAAATGCAATGAATTTTTTTTTTTTTTCATTCATATGTATCATTTCAGCAGAAATATAATTGTATATGTTGTATGTATAATTTGGTGTAGTTTAAACTTTTAATTTTTTTATTTAAAATAACAACATTGAGTTCAATTTCTTTCTTTCCCTTTTAGAACAAATTTTCTTATGTAGGATTTTTTCTGCCTGTTTCTTTGCAGAAATGGCAAGACATAATAAAAGAAGTAAAGTTTCTTCGCCAGTTGAAGCATAGGAATACAATAGATTATAAAGGATGTTATCTAAAAGAGCATACTGCATGGGTTAGTTCTAAAATTGTTTTATGAAACTTTCTGAGTTTTTCCTCTATTTTTCCCTTAAATTTGTTCTGATATTTTGTCATTATTTTTAATTTTAGCTAATAATGGAGTATTGTCTAGGATCTGCTTCAGATATAATTGAAGGTAATTCTCATTAATATTTGATTTTAGACTTAGCAATAATATAATACAAATATTACTGTTCTGAATTATTTATTGTAAACATTTTTGATGAAAATTTCAAGAAAGCCATTTTGTAATGGGTGCATCAGGATTTCTGATCCAAGATTTCCAACTTGCGGGTTTGATAGGTATTGAAAATTTGTAACACCATTTGATATTTATTTTTATAAAGCTAAATATTTGGCTGAAGAAATTGTTAATTAAAGTAATATATTATTTTAAAAAGATTGGATTTAATTATTTCTGGAAAATTTATAATTCAATTGCTGTTTGAAATTTAATTGGCACTTTAAAGTCATTAAAATAATGCCCTTTAGGAAGCTAAATGTGAACCTTTCTTGGTACAGAACATTAAATTATTTAATGTTTTCTTCAGTTCCACCCCTTAGATTCAATTTTAATTTTTTGTGGACCACCTTTTAAAATTTAACAAGCTTTTGTATATATGTAAATGTGCTACAGTTGCCCGTTGGCAACAAGCAAGTTCACAAATTCCATTTTAAAGTAAGTTTCAAGCAGTAGCACTATTATAATTTAATATTCTATCTATGCAGTTTATTATATTGAAGTATTTAACAAACTGAATGTTATGTGAGCAGTACTGTTTTAATGGATGCCATGCAATATTTATAAATTTACCATAATATGTTAAGGGAAAAAGTTTATTTCAGTTAGAATTATAGAAACTCATGTGCAGCTGGTATTGCTTTTCTTAAAAAGATTAGGTGATTTCTTATGCAAGACTTTTTTCAGAAGGTAGCAAATGGTAGAAATTGAATCCCCCCTAAATAACACTGGTATTTTCTTATTATCTGTGGTCACATTTTCTTAGCAACTTTTTTGTTAACAAGAAACATAATTGTCATTATTCATGTTTATTTTTTACTTCCTTGTACGAAGTAAAAACGAAGTATTGTAATCGCAAAAAATTTCAGGCCTTGTATTTCAATGAAAATATCTGTTTTGATCGCTATCAAATGCAATTTAACGATGCTTTTGTGTGACATCTGTACATAAGGACAGAATAAGGGACACTTCTTTCCCCCCAAAATTATAAAACTAATTTAAAATGAATTCTGAAGAGAACTTTTTGTGGCGTCTGTGTGTACGTACGTATTACGTATCTCGCATAACTCAAAAATGAGTAGTCTCAACCTTCTATTTTGGTTGCAAACGGCCGCACCAAAAGTATATTAACATATATATATATATATATATATCCACTCTGTTACTCAGATCAGTGAACTTAGTTTCTTTATTCTTATGTGTTTGTAAATTGTGCATTTTTTGTTTTAAAAGTGATTAAATTATGTTGTTCTTATCTTCTGGTTAAAGTTTTTAATGACCTTTTGCAATGGCGGACGTGTTTGTTTACATTTGAAACCGCAGAATAGTGGATTTGTTTCCAATCTAGAGAAACTAAGCTTCGCAACAACAAAGGAAATGCCTTCATATATTACTGCAAATTAAATCATGCTTAATCTATTCTGGAACTTACTCGAGGAAATAAGTGCTTAAGATTTACTTTGTAATTTATTTTTAATATAGATATTTTGAGTTTTTATGTGTTTTTGCCTTGTTGCGAAGTGAGAACTGTATTGATTGAATGAAAAATACTGAATCATCTGTGAAAAATTGTTTCTTTTTTTTTTTTTTATTTGTTTAATTTCTTTTTACATCATTTTAGATTTATTGCAGTATTTGAATAGAACATGTGGCAACGATTAGATAATTCTTAAGATGATATAAATTTTGTGCATTCTGAGTTATAAAATGAATGAAATATAAAATATAAGGCTGTGAAGTGAACATAGCACCAGAGTGTCGCTATGGTAAACAAATATAGTGAATTTTAAAGAGTGCATTTATTCTGTTGTGGTTTATGAGCTATCGACGATGTAGATTGAATTCAATCCAATAAGCTTAAATGAAATGCAAGAAAAAAGTGTCTAATTTAATATTACATACAAAATAAATAGTCATGTGGTGTACACATCAGATTTTTTTATTTCAATTTCCAAGTAAGCTTTGATGGGCCTTTAAAATTTTATTTTACTGCTTCATTTATTATTATTTTTAATTATTCAGTGGAATGAAACAATTTCTCGTGGATAAATAACACCAGTCAACTGGTGACATACTCAGGGTGGCTGCATTACCTGGAAAAAGTCAGGAAATTTGAAAATTGACTAAAAATTTCAGGGAAAGGTCAGGGAATTTAAATATTTTAGTCAAAATCTGGAAAAGTTAGGAATTTCATACGGCGATTCCCCCCCAAAAAGCGAGTTTTACGCCGCCGTTGAAAGCGATCACTTTCTTGGCGAATTATGTATCGTGTGAGCATCATTCAGTCAGCTGGCATAGAGCCAATTTTCACCACTCCAATCAGAATGTCCAATCAGAAAGGCAAAGCAAGTTTCCAGCAACTTTGGTTTTCAGTAACCTCGAGTATTGAGAGACTCGCCTGCGCACATGCAGTGCATGTTGAACTAAGGAAAATATGTGCGTATACTAGGATTATACCGCAAAATCTTTTTAGCTTCTTTTTGTTAATAAATGCCTTATTTGTCATTTTGCAGTAAAATAATAATAATAAAAAAATAGTAATCAATCACCTAGGCTAACCATATAATATAACTATATTTGTCAAAATATTGTTGACTATTCTAATTAATTTTTAAATAATTATCTTTATTTTAATGTTATTTGTGTCATTTAAAGTTATTAGTAAATAATACTTTCAAATTTCAGGAAATTTTCTGTGGCATAATCCTAAAACTAATTCTAGCAGTATGATGATATACCATCACGAAATGTAATGCACATACTTTTTGCTTATGTATGCTGCTAAATAAATATAAAATACCTGGATTTATTTTAAAATATCATTAAATATATTTCTTTCTTTCATTTAGCCTCAAAATGTCTGCAAAAAAAAAAGTAATTCTTTGGGGATAAATATATTACATGTAATTTATAAGTCAATATTATATTTATAAGTTTTTTTTCCCCCTTGCTTAAATATTAAGTTTTACATTTCCAATTTTAAATTGGCAGGCACATCAGAAAAAGAAACAAAACCATTGAGACTTTTTTTAGATAATTTAGTTTAATTATTCTATTAATAAATCCTCTTTCAGTCTCAATTGTTTTTGTTTGATGAAACGTGCTAAAGGTTATTAGCTGCATTTGAGATTTAAGACGCTTTTCCTTTGATAAGTCCAGATTAAACCTTGAGTTGAGCTAATTTACCATTTATTGCAATTCTTTCTACATATTTTCTGCGTATTTGAAATGTTTTTTAATTATTTGCTTGCATCATTTTAATATTTAAAATTTTTATTTTAAATTTATTAGTTTTTCTCTCACACCTTTTCGATTTTGAAGTTATCTCGTTTTGTAATTTTTACATTAAGTTTTTACGCAATAACTTTTACTTCTTTAGTATTGCATTGTTGTTTTTACGTGGTGTAAACTCAGGAACTACAGTATCAAATGTACTTTTAAGCAATCGCTTTTGAACTTTCCTCTTCTTTGAAATTATTTAAAAATTTTGCAGCTCAGTGTGCAAAATTCTTGACCACATAGTATTGAATTCAGTATTTTGTTCGTGTTTTCTTTCTACTTTCATACTTATAAGTCATATTTAATACATATATAAGTCATATGTAATTGGCAAATTTTTGTGTTTCCAATTGGTACCATAATTAATTTACCTCTTAACACAGCAAATGTGCATTATGCAGATATACTGGAATTTTCTTAAAACACTACTGGAAAAGTCATTTCCTGTTTGAGCGACAACTCTGCATATTGAATTTGGTTCTACCGTCGTTTAATAGATGTCATTCCGAAACAGCAGTTCTAAATAAATCATAGTGTGACAAAGAGTACTATTTATTCTACTCTCAAATCATTTCTTTACATGACGACTGGATTTCTGTTGGCAGCCTTTTCTGCTACATTTGCCACACATTTCTGCTGCATTGCCACATTTTCTCACCTAAGCTTAAGGTCATCATGTGTCTATTTAGGCAAATATCTGCCTTCAGAATTATACCGAATTATACCATATTCTGGAGAAATGATTTTAACATCTGACAGATTCTTTAAATTTTACTTAATTCTGTTTGCCATAATTAAATGCTTAGCTGAAAAATTGTAGAAAATCTGGAAAAATAATGTGAAATAAAAAAAAAAAAAAAAAAATAAAAAAAATAAAAAAAAAAAAAAAAAAACCGAAAGCCGTGAGTAGTTTGGGAAACTGAAATAAATGCAGTAGTGCTTAAGGCATTTCTTTTGTAGCCAAGGAAACATGACTGGAGGTATTTGAGAAATATCAAGTCTTCATTGAAGAAGAATGCTCTAAAGGAAATAATCTTATGTTACATATAGAGAAGAAACACCTGAAAACAATATTAAACATCTGAAAAGAGAGGTGGTAGTTGATTTCAAAATTAATGGAAGTGACTAAAAAAAATCGAGTAATATTTTTTTTTTTTTCTTTTGTATTAAGCACTAGTAAGTTTCCTTTTGTATTAAGTATTTCATTTTCCAACAGAAATATGAAGTTAACTAAATTAATTTAAAAGTTAAATTATATACATTCATTGGAAGTTTTTATGCTAGCATAAATTTTTATTATTATGTACTTCTCAAAAATTTTTAAATAGTCAAAATAATTTTTTTTTTTTTTTTTTTTTTGTGCTGTCAATATTGTTCTTGAGTTTTAGAAGTTTGTATATTCAAGATATGGTATGTGCAAAATACTATAGGGTGTAATTCAGTATTTACAAAACTTTCAAACAAGTTTGTAAAAATGTATAGGTTCATGGTTTTTTGTGTTATAATTTAAAAATTTTTAACATTAAGCTTTTTCTTAAAAAAAGAAACAGATTTTTCAGATCCAGATGTTTTCTAATCTGATATAATAAATAATGATTCTTTTAATAAATATTTCTAGTGCATAAAAAGCCTCTTAAAGAAGAAGAAATATCTGCAATATGTCAAGATGCTCTTCAAGGTTTAGATTATTTGCATTCCCTTGGCAGAATTCACAGAGATGTGAAAGCTGGTAATATTCTTCTTACTGAAAATGGAACTGTTAAATTAGGTAATATACATTTCTCATTGTTCATTACTGAGAATCCTATAAACTAGTAGATTAAGAATAATACAGTCAAAAGTCTTTAATCCGGACTCGTCGGGACTTCAGCGATTCCAGATTATCGGTTTTTCCGGATTATAGATCATCGGTTTAAATCTGGTAAGATGGCATGCAGAAATTATAAAATTAAAAATATGAAACAGTAATTTATGAAATAAAGAGCAATTATGATCTAAAAGGTATCAAAAGTTACAAGAAAAAGCTTAATATTTATTTGTTTACTTTATTAAACATTTCATTTCTTTCGATGCGCGCATGCGTAAAGCATACATTACGCATAGTTGAAATTAGAAAATTGCAACCAGAAAACTATTTGATGTGTATTCGTGATATTTATAATGACGATGAATTTGATTTAAATCATATCAGAGACGGAGTACATCGAGATGAAATACTACATTTCGTAAGGAATTATATGCCAAATAAAATAAAAACATCTGCCCCGAAGACAAGGATAGTGCTGACAGGTCAATTTCCAGTTCATTGCGTGCCGCAACGTTTCCCTCCCCCCACAGAGCAGTGTGAAATTGATACAGTCAAAAGTCGTTAATCCGGACTCGTCGGGACTTCGCCGATTCCGGATTATCGATTTTTCCGGATTATAGATCATCAGTTTAAATCTCAGTTTTTTCATGAGACTTCCTAATTCGTCTCAGTACCTAAATTATGACACATTATCATGTTTTGAAAAAATTGTATGATTTTTTTTAGAGCACTCAAAATTTTATCGCCATTGTTAAATGAATATGATTTATATTTAACAATGGTATTGCCTTTTTATTTAAATCAATTCCTTTTAACATAATCTGTAATTTTGGTTTCATTCAAACAAGTTCAGACGCTTAATCAGAGTTTAAGTTCAGGCAATGCTGTACAGTCAAAAGTTGTTAATCCGGACTCGTCGGGACTTCGGCGATTCCGGATTATAGATCATCACCTTAAATCTGGTAAGATGGCATGCAGAAATTATAAAATTAAAAATATGAAACCGTAATTTATGAAATAAAGAACAATTATGATCTAAAGGGTATCAAAATTTACAAAAAAAAAAAAAAAAAAAAAAAAAAAAAAGAAGCTTAATATTTATTTGTTTACTTTATTAAACATTTCTCTCAATGTAAGTTGTTTAAGTTGCTTCATTTTATGTGATAATACTTTCTCTTTAATTCTATAAAAAGACAATTTCTTGTTCAGTTACAAAGTTCCGCTGTTCAAGTCCCGTTAATTGCTGTGCCGAGAATACCGACTAACTTGTCAATCGAAATTTTTTTGTTTTCACTAACTTCTCTGTCCCATTCTTCATGTCTTTATCCATTTTTTGCAGCAATTCCACTTTTTGTTTGTTGGATATCGAAACATACTTTCGTTTTGTAGATCCTTTGGAAGTTCCAACATCGGAAATTCTATTTGACATAATCGAAAGTTCAAGTTTACTTTTATAAAATTGCTCTTACAGTCTGCAAAAAATAATAAGCGGGATCCAATTCGAAGATTAAGGAAACAACGCAATCATTAACATTAACTGAAATAGAAATTAGATAATTTTAGCTTACACACCGTCCGTTATACATTAAACGCGCAGGCGAAAACGTATTCTGCACTTGCGCACACGCATATGCGCAGTAGTCAAGGTCTTACGCGCACGCGTAAAACGCCTGTGCGCATGTGCCAACGCGCCGCATGCGCAGAAAGTTTTTAGCTTTGAGGTCCGGATTATAGATCATTCCGGATTATGGGTGTCCGAATTAACGACTTTTGACTGTAAAAAGATTTCGGAACGGTTAGAGAAACAAAGGATATGCCTTTATCCATTTTTTGCAGCAATTCCACTTTTTGTTTGATGGACATCGCAGATCCTTTTAGATCCTTTGTAGATCCTTTGGCAGCTCCAGAATCGGAAACTCTTTTTGACATAATTGAAAGTTCAAGCGTACTTTAATAAAATTGCTCTAAGACTCTTCGAAAAATAATAAGCTGGATCCAATTAGAAGGTTAAGAAACAACGCAATCTGCTACATTAACTCAAATAGATAATTAGATAATTTTAGCTTAGCTTATACCAGCCGTTATACATTAAACGTGCATGCGTAAACATATGCGCACGAGTAAATGTATATGCGCATGCGTAAAGGTATTATGTGTTTACGCATGCACAGAAAGTTTGTAGCTTTGAGGTCCGAGTTATAGATCATTCCGGATTATGGACGTCCGAATTAAAGACTTTTGACTGTATATGTGCTTATCCACTGTTTGTTTTAAGAGCCTTAAAGGCAGATCTTTTCCATGTGTTTTCTTCAGAAATTTTATTTTGCACTTAACTTTAAAACATTTGCTGTTATCTTTAAACTGTCTGATGCATTGTAATATTATGTGAATGAATACAAGTTATATGTAAATATTAACTGAAATAGTCTCACTAATTAGCCAGGTAGCTTTTTATTATCAGTCTGTGAAATTTTTCAACTTTTAAAAAAGCCTACTGATTTGCTGAAAATTAGTTTCTAGTTTATTCATTTTTATTTTTTTAATGAAAGCCCTTTCATTAATTAGCCCCTCCCATCTTGCTTGAATGAATTTTAAATGAGGTTTATCTTAATAGCATATCTAAGAATTTTATTAAATATAAATAAGCATGATTGTCCATACATTTATTCAAGTAAATAGTTACTGATAAATAGGATATTACTTTGGCTGGGATTTCTGTAGTTGAAAAATATGAATTCTTAATAGATGAGCGAATCTACTGAAGCTGACTCATATTAGTACTACTATTTGTAGAAAATGTTATGTTATATCCATGGGAACTATACCATTAGTTAGCCATTTATAAGTAGAGATATGAATTTTTCTTTCTTTTGTTTATTTTTACACTTTTTAAGATTTGTTTGGTAGAACTAAGTTAAAAGCTTTATTAGAAAGAGATGTATTATTAAGAATTTTGAGGTTGTTTACCCTGATGCCCCCTTCCTAAAAGTAGCTTCTTTTTCCTTTCCTCCTTCAGTTTTTATTTTAGTGCAGTGATGTAACTACTTTTTCATTGCAGTTTATTTTTGAAAAGTTTGTTGAACTGGATCATGAATTAGTTAAAAATTGCAGATATTTACATACTAACGCAACCACCTTGGCTCAATTTGGTGATCTTTTTACTGATGAAAATGTAAAAGTAACTTTTCATGTACAAGTTGATGGATTTTGTGAGTTTTTTTTTATACGATCCTGAAACTAAATATTTATCATAAGTTAACAAATACTATCAGCATATGAAAAGCCAACCAATTAGTAACCAATAGTCAACAATTTACAATACAAATTTTAATTTTTGCATAAGAAATATATGACACACTAAAAAACACATTCGCTTCCAAATTTTTTTTGTAATTTTGTTTGTTGTATTTTTTTCTCAAGTACACAACAATCTCGGCTCCATGGAGTATCTACTAAATGCATCCTCTCATTGTTTCCTTTAGAGATTTTATGGCAAAATTGTATATTCCGGCAGAAATTTTACCAAAACTTCTTCCCTTGAAGACAAATTCCACAAACTCATATTTTAAAACTAAGTTTAAGGCAAAAAAATACCACAATTTTGTTTATAAAAATGGTTGGAATTTGAAATGCGGCTTAGTGAATGCATACGGAAATGTGATGTTGCCTGACTGAAGGATTGTTATAAACATGGTGCCTGAAGAATGATTATGCTCATGGTTGGCAGAGTTTGGCACATTCTGAAAATTTGGATTGGCAACTTCTACTAAGGTGGTTGTAATAACATGTAAGTACCAAATTGCAAATATTGAGTTTCTTTAGGCAGAAAGATAAGGTATTGTGTACTGAAATAAATATATGTGATATTCTTTCTTCCATTAAAAATATGAAAAACTTTATTGATAGACATTTTTATATTATTTTTCTTTCCCTTTATTGTTTTACACATTTTCTTTATTTTTAAATGCATTTGTGTATGAAGCAGTATGCAATAAATACATATATGTTTGCAGCTGATTTTGGATCAGCTTCCATGGCATCACCAGCAAATTCTTTTGTTGGTACACCATACTGGATGGCTCCAGAAGTTATTTTAGCTATGGATGAAGGACAGTATGATGGCAAAGTAGACATCTGGTCACTTGGAATTACTTGTATTGAACTGGGTGAGTTCAAATTTTCTGCACATTGAATTTTCTATTTATTTCCTATGTATGCATGATTGCAAACATGCCAAGCTCAAACATCAGGAGATTCTGTTAACAAATCAGAATTTTGCAGTAAGAAAAATTATTTTTTAAATAAAGAAAATTATACAGAATGAAAATTCTTTTAAATAGCAGACTACAAATACTCAAAGTGCAATCTTTAAGTTGTATATGCAATTAGTTAAAAAATACTTATGTCTTCAAAAAATGTTTTTTTATTTGAAATGTTTTATGGAAAGATAATAGTTTTTTAACCTATTTTCATGCAGTTGTTAATAATAGCATTTTTTTTTTTTTTTTTTTCTTTAAGGGAGAAGCAACATACTTTTGCTTATAACATTTCATGCATAGACCTGTTTTTGTTAATAAAATTTTAAAACAAGCTTAAGATAACTAGTGTATGAAGTTGTGTTTCAGAATTTTTCTTATTTAAGTTTCACACAGCTGTTGAATTTGTTTGAGCTTCCTTTTCACTTTTAGAACTCTTTTCAAGAAAGTAGTAAATATTAACAACAAATTCATCTATATGTATCACTTAAAAATACTACAATGTTTTCAGCTGCTAAGTTTAAAAGATGGCAAGTACACTCCATAATTTGCAAATCTAAGTTTTCTTTTTTCAAGACGCCTGCAACATCAATCTTCATGTCTAGTGTAACTGATGCATTATGCACACTAAGAACAAAACAGTTGTTCATAGGTATTCAATTTTTCTTCAAAGTTTTACTGGTTAGCTGTGCTATATAGAAGTTTGTACAGTCAGTCTTTGAAAGTGCTAATACACAAAGCTAAACTCAGTTCGTGAAGCCACAGGTTTAAAAAGGTATAATAATCATTGAGTACAGTTTTGTATTAATATTATTGCTTTCATCTCTAAAACGGCAGAAAGTAGCTGTTTTAACGCAAGCAGCAACCGAAGATTTATTTTTCTTACGCATTTCTTTAATTACTGCAGTTTTTTTAGTTTTGTTTTTTTGTTGTTCTTGCACACGGATATTATTGAGTGATTTTGCTCTCAGGAAATAATTTTCTAATTAAAAATGCAGTGTGATCAGAAGAATTCAGTAGCAGATTATGGTCAAGTAAAAGGCAGAACATAGACATTTTGGATTAATAACCTTTTTTTTTTTTTTTTTTTTTTTTTAATACTGTGTCTTTTTGTTTTTAAGTATGTACATGATTTAGAACATTGGTCCTTTCACCTTGCAGAATAGAAAACTAGAGTGACACAAGATACACATTGAACATCTGCTAAATTTTGAAATAATACAAAAAAGATCAGCTATGTATGTCTTTCGAAAAGTAGATTAGTATTTTACTTTTTCAATGGACATAACTAAGCTAAAGGATCACAAATTCTTAAGCAACTTCTACAAGCATGTGAATCCCACACCATTTACAGACTCCAGAAAGACAGATGACTGTTTTGATCTTGTTTTGTCCTCATTAAATAATGTGTGTGAAATGCCCATTGAAGAACTGAATCATGATGTTTTGAGGCAGGTCTACTGCCATTTGCCTAGTGTGAGTGGTTGATGAAAAAAGGGGCGGAGATATTAAAAAGGGTAATCAAAAGAAGCAAATGATTTCTAATGAAAAATCAGGGATCTCCTGCCTAATTCAGGTTAACTGGCAAGTCAATTATAATATTATACATCACTGTTATTAATTCAAATTCATTTGGAAAGTTTCTTATTAAATTTTAAAATTTGTATTATGTTAAAAATTCTTTTTAAAATGATAATTAATTAGTAAAAATTAATAAGTTTTCTTTTTTGGATTCTTTTTTGATTTTATTGTAACTTCTGTTTCTTTTAATGAGCTTTTCTTTAAAAAAAAAAAAAAAAAAAATACTAATCGCCTTGTAAAACTTCCAATAAAATAATTAAAAAAAAAAAAATACCCTTGTAAAACTTCATTACTAGATTATATTATATCTTAATTACAAAATTTCTAATTCTCTTCTTTTTGTATCTCATTGCCAGTCAGATACCGAAAATCCGCGCAATCTCTCAATATTATATCAAATCATTCAGTTTATAGGTTCAGGAAACTGCAATATGGAAAACGAAATACCGAAGAAATGAGAAATACCAAATAATGACATCATAACAGAAGTACTTATCAAATCATTGACATCATGGTAAAAGTAACAATGTGGGGTTGCCATTAAATTACAAGATTTTACTATTGTTCGACAACAACAGCTCTGTACATCCAGAGGCAACCATTTTAACATGTGATATTGCAATGGGCCTTTTTTTTTTTTACCACTATTACTACATCACTAATCCAACCAATGGGCCATGGCATAATACACAATATTAAATTACACTACAAATCAGAGTTTCTGGGGGGGATTCTTAAGAGACCATTCTATTTCATTTTATGATTATAAAAAATTTCTTCTTCAAAGACTGCATCTATATTTTAACAGAATCATAGAATTCTGTTTGGCAGCATAGCAAATGAGTGGCCATCTTCTCTGTTTATTGAAACTGAAAATGATGGCAGTCAGTTTTTTGGTTTTAGGGTCAGTGCAGCAAAGTTTAAAGCAAGAGAATTGCTTCTGCATTCAAAAGAACAGATGAGGAGGCTTTGCAAGAAGATATCATTGAATGGATGATGTGTCCAGATGAGCCAACCCTGGCATATGACCGATGATGAAATTATTGGCTTTGTTTTGAACTCAACATAGCAAGACAGCAATTCTAACACTGACACAGATAGTGAATTTGATAGGAGTGAAAAATATTTTTTAATAAAGCTTTGGAACATGTGAAAAACCTAAATTAAAATAATAATAATAATAATAATAATAATAATTTATTTTTATCAATGTTCCTTATTTTCATCTTAATGTTGCATATGTCCTTACTTATTTTGCACTTTTAGTCTAAATATAATGATTTATCTCTTCTGTTCTGAAATCTGCAAACCTCTGATTTTAAGCATTGCAAATTTCTGGTCTTCTACTGTTCCAGTCTTTTGTATATATTTAATACATATTTATTTGTGCATTAAATATAATATACTAAATAAATAGATATGTGTACTTATTTGTTTTAAATTTTAATCAAGCGTTAATAGCCTTTTCAATAATGAGTGGTTTTCTATTTATACTATTTGGCATTAAAAAAGTGATGTAGAAGCAAATAATTTACCATGGTAGAGCTTTTGAAATTCAGAAATTTTATTTTTTATTTTTAATAGTATAAACTCTAGTTTTATTAGTTGGCAACAATATGTATTTCTTACTGAATGGCAAAATTGCCTTCGAAATAGACTATAAATCTTTAGTTGCAAAGTTTTAATTTTTAGTTAGAAACTTCTGTTCTTTTATTTTATATATATGTATTTGGGAATGTAGCAAATCATGTAACAGTGTTATTATTAAGTTCATGCAGATGGCACTGTTATTATGGTTGCAGTTTATTGTAATTGATCGTAAAACAAAAGATTCAGTCAGCAGTCAGTTCAAATAAATTAGAAAGCTGTTACCTGGTTCTTGATCTGATGAGCTTCTCAGACAGTAATTCAGATATTTTAGGCATTAATCCTTTATTAGCACAATGATGATACATAACACATCTTAGCTGCTCAAAAAACATTGACTAACATTAAAATATCTATAAACTTATCAGCACCAGCTATCGGCTAGAGCAGTCAGGTCCAATCTTTAGTTACCCGAGGGCCAATCAAACATTAGTATAGGAGACTGAGGGCCAGAGACAATAAAGAAAGAAAATGAATTACATATAACTCACTAGTTTAATGTATCACTTTATTTTACAGTCTAGAAATTAGTGTGATGATTAGCACTGCTTTTTTGATACAAGGTTTTCAATGCCCTTTGTAATTTCAGTAAGGCAAAGTTTCAGGCTCGATTCCAATGAAGCACTTTCAGTGCAATTTCTTGTTTTTGATTTAATTTGTTTGAAAGCAGAAAAAGCACTTTCACACACATATGTACTGCCAAACAGTGATAACATTTTCAAAGAGAATTTATGCAATTTGGGAAAAAATTCTGTAGACATCAGCTTACAGAAATATTTAGTGACATCACACTTTTTAATCTGGTAGAATGGATCTGCCTGAAAATCACAAATTTCCATTTGAAGGTCGCAAGGCACCTCATTACTTCAATCTCCATGGGGTTGTTTAACAATTAAATTTTTGTTTTTATGGAGTCAAAATCCTGAAATCTGTCATGGAACTCTTTCTTGATATCAGTAATAGTTTCAGGAAACATACTAAAATTTGTGTCATTTTCTTCTTTCAGCTGCTGACAAAATGGGAAGTGTGTCGTATTATTTGCCTTCAGTGCAATTTGCATTACGTTAAGTTTTCTGCGAAAGCCTTCAGTATGTCCATAAAGCTGGGATATATTTTGTTTTCTGCCTTGTAGTTTCAAGTTAAAGCATTTTGATGGGTTTTTTTTATCTGTCAGAAAAGCAAGATTATTTAAAAAGTGGATTTCTTCCAATTTTTCTTGATACTCATGCCCAGCATTTCCTTTTTTGAGGAAAGCAAGAATTTTATTCCTCAACCCAAAAAACTGTTACAGACAATTTCCAGCACTTAGCCAGGGCACTTGACAGTACAATGAAATGTCATCATACTCAGCATCCAAATTGTCCACAAATGCAATAAATGCTCACTGTCCCTGGGTTTTGCCTCATTAAATTTACAGTATTTGCAACAGTTTTCATTGTCTGAACCTCATAATTTTTTATCATTTAATTAGTATATTTAATATAATTATTTATATTTGTTGTTTATTATTTAAAGCAGTAAGAAGGGTTTTTTTGTTTTTTGTTTTTCCAAATGTTTAACTAACATTTTACTTCCAGTAAAGAAGGGCAAGTGCCAAAAAATTAATAAGAGGGCCGCATGCAGGCCGCGGGTTGGATTACGCTGGGCTAGAGTATGCAGCAGATCATATGACTATTTGCTCTTAGTTGATCATAGTATATGCTTTGTTTTTCGCTGTGATTCATAATTCGATCCCCCTTGCTTGAGAATTAAAACACAAATTTGTACACTTCATTGCTTATTATTGTTATTTTGCTTCACATCACAAAACTGGTTATTAATCATGTTAAAATAATGTGTTAAAAGGAAAATCTTGATACTCATTAGTAGATTTCATAAATGCCTATTTGATATCTTATAATGTATATCAAATATAACTTCAATAATTTTTTTGCAGCTGAAAGAAAACCTCCTTATTTCAATATGAATGCTATGAGTGCCTTGTATCACATAGCCCAGAACGATTCACCATCTTTAGGACCTGGTGAATGGTAAGTTCACAATATATTGTTTTATGTGTTTTTAATTCATATTTCCTTAAAAATAAAAGAAAAATAATAAATAAAAAAACTTCCTCTTCAAAATAAATGCTTTAGAATCTTTTGTTTATAGTAAAAGAGAAGCCAAACTGTTAACACTTGACATTTTACACTGTCACTTAATTGCTCAAGCCACTTAATTAGTTATACCTCCCTAGTAGTGTGTACCTCCCCCTTTTGCTGTGATGATGACTGGCAACATGGTATGATAATAAGGTGAAAGCATTGGGAAGCCTAGTAATCTATATCTGCCATACACCTTCTCATAGCGCATGGAGATTACCCGAAGTGAAGTCTAATGCACTTATAATTTTCTAGCTAGTATTCTAAACATGCTTAACAGACTTGAGATTAGGTAATCTCAAAGGACAGGCGAATACCATCCTGTCTATGAAGTGTTCCATGAACTATTCGACAACATTTCAGGGATGAGAAAATGCATGCATGTGATCTGACAGCATGTCTCTGTATGGTTTTACTGATAAGGGGTGATAACAGTTAGAGCAGGGAACATATGTTCATCCGTGGAAGCAGTTTGTATAGTAGAATACTGCTTTCACTCATTTAATGTCTACCTGCTGGCAAGAAGAATTCTTTTCCTGTGGGTTTTAATGCACTTATATATCTTGTTGATAAGAGGAAACTATTGCTTTATGAGCTTTTATAAATGGATTCATAACCTGTCATTGTCATGTATCAACTACAGTACAAAGCCCATAATCCAGACTCGTCAGAACTTCAGCGATTCTGGATTAAGGGTTTTTCCCAAATTATAGATCATCAATTTAAATCTGGTAAGATGACATGCAGAAATTATACAATTAAAAGTATGAAACCATAATTTATGAAATAAAGAGCAATTATGATCTAAAGGGTATCAAAATTTACAAAAAAAAAAAAAAAAAAAAAAAAAAAAAAAAAAGCTTAATATTTATTTGTTTACTTTATTAAACATTTCTTTCAATGTAAGTTGTTTAAGTTGCTTCATTTTTTGTGCTAAACACGCATGCGTAAACATTAAACGTGCAAGCGTAGCATTAAATGCGCATGCGTAAATGCATTACTCGCATGCATAAAGCATACCAAAAAAAGTTTGTATCTTTGAGGTCCAGATTATAGATCATTCTAGATAATGGGCGTCCGGATTACAGACTTTTTACTGTAGTACCTTGATCATGGTTACACAAAAGCTGGCATACAGGCCGAATGCATACCTTTTGATTGCTTAATCTGGCCCATTATGAAATTGTGTGCAATAACATTTTCATCTCTTTCCATCGCAGTATGTAACAAAAATAAAAATGTGTGCAAAGCTATAAATTTATAAAATTGTTTGATTAATTTTTGATGCCGTTTTCTTCATTTTCATTAATTGACTCGTATGCTGGGCTGTTATGATCTCATGTTCACCATCTGAGGTTTATTTAAAGAAATTTCTACCTGTAAGGGGTTACTCCCATAGCTTCCTGGCAAACAATAGGAGGATGCGAAAGATTGTCACACAAGCAACATTGTATTTTGCAATGTCCCTGCCTGCATGGTGCACTAAAAAGTCCTTTTAGGCCCATTGTTAGTATTTGCTCTCTCCTGACCTAGAATCATCAATCCAAGTAATTTTTTTTTTTTTTTTCATGCTTCAAGGTTTCAGTGGCATTGTTTCTTTGTCGCTCTTGATCTTTGTGCCTTGTAATGTGCAGTGAGCTGAGGTATTCTGTAGATATGTTCCATTTGCTCACAAACTAATTCAAGAATTAATTCACTTTACTGAGCAAGTGAAAAGTGAGTCATCAAAAAAGAGCAGTAGCAATTTTAGAGTTCACTGACCAAGAACTCTTGCTTCGAGTGTGCGAGGAAAGTTAAAAAGAAGGTTTAAGGGAATCTCAAAACTGCAATTGAAAGTAATCAGTTCAGAGAGTGAGCAGTTTCCTTGTGTCTGTTCTCCCGATCCCACTGCTGATTCGTTTCTTTTTGCTTATCACTCAGCCCATTTCTTGATTCACACCTTGTTCCTGATCTCATTCATCAAAATTATTGTTAGAGAACAGTGAGTCATACAAAAGAACCTTTTTAGTTCAGTGAGTGAATGGTTCTGATTTGATTCTGTAAAAGAGTGTGACTTTGTCCTCTTTTCCTCTAGTGAGAATGATGGTTTGCTTGCTCCATAGTGAGAAGATGGTTTTGAGTAGTATGACTGTTTACACTGTAGTGAACTGGCAAATAATGTGCTGCAATGTAACCCATCTATTTGCTGTTACCATCTGAGCTAGCAAACAGGGAGCCCGTTCCTCTGCACACTGCAAGCCGTGATACTTAACTGTGGCAGCAGTGGTTTTTATCAGAATCCATGTACTTGTGTTAGACTCTTCACACAGTAACGTAGGAAAAGTCTAGCACCTGAAAGACACTAGAGTTGGAAGTATATATACAGATGGAGGACAAAATAATGCAAACACCTGTGAAAACGTATTACTTATTTCACACCTGCAGTGCAGCCGTGCCAACTGCAACATAAGTCTGCCACCTAGTGAGCGTGAAGAGAAAGGTATCAGTCTCTCAACAGCCGTAACCTGCGTTGCATGCTTTGATTGAACTGTCTGTGAGAAGTTGAATGTCCGACCTGTCAAAGAAGAATAATAGTTGGAGCGCGTTTAAGTGGCGCATCGGTTACGGAAATATCAAACCTTGTGGGGTGTGCAAAGAGTACGGTATCAGCCGCTATGACAGCGTACACGAAAGAGGGTAAGACGACATCTTCAAAGCACAACAGTGACCAAAAGTCAAAGCTGGCTGAAAGAGATAGATGGGTCTTAAAGCGCATAGTAGCCCAAAAGCACAAGCAATCGTTATCCGAGATAACATCCGAAATGAACACTCATCTCCAGGACCCTGTTTCAACAAAAACTGTCGAAAGGAAACTTCATGCTGCGAACATTTATAGCAGAGTGGCAATAGGTCAAATGAATTGTCATTCACTCTGTTTCGGACAATCAGACGCGCTTATGTCTGGAGAATCCCCAAAGAAGCGTTTCATCCTGACTGCCTTTTGCCGACTGTGAAGCATGGGGGTGGCGACATTATGATATGGAGTGGTAAAAAACGTGTGCGAATTTCTTTTTGTAATAAGAATAAATAAATATTTAATTTTTCTTATATTAAAAATGCGTAAAAATAAAATAAATAAATAAATATTTGAATCAGATTTTTATGGAAATGATAATATTTTAGCCAGAGAACATCCTTTAAAAAAGGGGAATAACAGAGTGTTATAAATCTAGCACCTTGGCGCAGTCTTGGGCCACTTGTTATTCTGCATGGGAAAATCACATCCAGTCACTATCTAAGTATTCTAGGGAATCATGTCCAGACTGTATTCCCTGAGGAGCGACCGCCTTTTTCAAGACGACAACGCTCCTATCCACACTGCCAGGTGTATTCAAGAATGGTTCGAAGAGCATGATGATGCAATTGAACATCACACTTGGCCCCCTCAGTCTCTGGACTTGAATATTATTGAACATTTATGGGCATATTTGGAGTCCAAACTTCATTCCCAATTTCCACTTCCATCCGGACTTTTGGAATTAGAGACTGCTCTGCAGGAGGAATGGCTTAATATTCCTTTAAATATTGTCCATAACCTTTATGCTTCTATCTCACATCGCATTCAATCTGTACTTCTGTCAAAGGGTGGTCCAACCTCTATTAATAAAGATTTTCCATTATTTCACAGGTGTTCGTATTATTTTGTCCTCCATCTGTATATCTACTTCATACATTTTTTGCCCCACCATTTTGTCACTATCAAATGTGCTGATATCTTGAATATTTTTCATCAGAATTTGAATGTTACTTTGACATATAGTGCGATGTTTGATGAGCTGACAACTGCATGTCTTAACTGTAGTCTTTTTATCAGAAGTATGTGAATAAATATTGCTGGCAGATCAATTTTATCTCTAATTTAGTTGTTCATCAGTATGTTCTTTTGTTTAGCTCTATATCTTCTCAAAGTGTACAAACAGGCTTTTGAATACAAATGTTTATTGACTAATAGCCTGCAGATTCACTTTTTAAGTCTAGTGCTTATTGTCCAATAGCTTATTTATCAGCATTTGAGCCTTTGAGATTTAACCACTAGAGGGCTTTTTCAGTTTTCAGTTTCTGGTAAAGCATCATTTATATTTTATATTATAAACCTCAATCATGTAATTAAATAAAGTATTAAAGTGTAATAAGTAAAATATTTAAATTAGAGTTTTGGATTGAATTGTTAATACTATATGTTAGAAATTATGATACGTGCCATAAACAGAAAGGTGTATAAGGAAAAAATATTAACACGTGTAAATTCTATAAAAGCATTTTTCCTTTTCTATTTCTGTGTTCAGTTGTATGAAAAATGTATTTGGGGCATCAGTGTGTATGGACATTAATGATAACATTAATGATGATGTTCATAAGACATCGAGAAGATAAAGTGCTGAACAAAAGAATACACTGATGAACAATTGATTTAGGGATAAGATGGCCTACTGACAATTTTTATTCATGTAGCTCTGGTGATAAAATGAGTTTTAAGTAATTTTGTTTAAAAATTACTGTTGCTCAATATACATGCTTCTTTCCCATTTTGCAGAAATAGGCATAGGAATTTTGAATTTGTTATAAGAAGTATTTAATTACTGATGCATTCACTTTTTTCATGTTTTATTCTTTAAGAGTGTTGATTGAATATTGACTTTCTGAGGAAGAACAAGAGCAAATTATTGAAATTAGGAACTGAATGACATTTATAATACCCATATCTGAAAATCTGCAGTTAAGTTTGTAACTATTACACAAATATATGTGATTTATTACTAAGAAGAGAAGTACTAATGGGTTTTACATCTAAAAAAATGTGTGCAAAATTCTTTTTGTAATAAGAATAAATAAACATTTAATTTTTCTTATCTTAAAAATGCATAAAAATAAAATAAATAAATAAATATGTGAATCAGATTTTTATGGAAATGATAATATTTTAGCCAGAGAAAATCCTGTAAAAAAGGGGAATAACAGAGTGTTATAAATCTAGCATCTTTAGAGCCGATTAAAGTTCCTCTCTCCAATAGGAAACATTGTTTGAATATTGTGCAGTCTAATACAGCATACCGTATATGCTTGTGTTATGTTTGTACCCGAACTTTACAGATAAAATTTATGTAAAAAAAGTGCCCCGCACAATGTCCGCACTCTAAAAACTAAAGAATTTCTTGCTTAAAAATCTATTTTTTAATATCACCCTTTTCCCTTCAATCAATAAGCGTCTTTAAAGAAAGAATATGCATTTGTTTTGTCTTTGGTTGGGACTCTTTCCTTGTATTCTAGTGCAGCAGTTATTCATTCATAACATTGGTGCCAGAAATCCACTCGGCAGAGGTGATAATAAGTGAAGGCAGTCCAAACAGGTTTTTACCACACTGGCTTTCAGGAAATACTGTTTTGTAATGAAATTACTTTTCCCCCCCTTCCTCCGTGGAGCATTCGCATATTTCAAGCTTTCTCTTTTCATTCATAGTATCATTTGGAATTCGTGGTAGTTAACGAGTAGTGTGCTTGAAATGGGAAAATACAGCATCTATACAGCGACTTTTAATGTCATAGAATTTGTGCAGGAAAATGGAAAAAGAGCAGCAGCAAGAGTATATAAGGTGGATGAAAAGTGTGTGCGCAATAGGAGCAAAACTTAAAAAGGGAAAGGGGGAAGGGAAGGAGGAAACGTAGAACTATATGCAAATGTGTAGAATGTCAGACATCTCTTCATAAAAGACTGTTCTTTGATATACAAAAATCCAAGTCTGTCTTTATTATATGGAAAAAAAGGCTCTTATTAGAGCCAGTATAAGTTGTAGAAGAGAATGTTTTATGCTATCAAATGCCTGCCAGTGGCTAAGACCAATGAATATTTTGTTACATACTTTGTTCTTACGATTAAGCTGACTTTATTATGTGTTCAGGATTATCTGTGTAACCATAAAACCACATGCATCTGAAGAAAAAAAAAAAAAAGAAAGCAAGCAGTTGTTTGTTTGAAGTTCAAAGGAGATTAAATTAGAAGTGCTAAATAGCATTAATAGGGTCCTTTAGCACTTCTTATTTTCTCTGCTAGTCTGAACGTGTACATGGTATTTTCTATCACTAAGGATGCTGATCCTTACATTTTATTCCTGTGTTTAACCTTTTGAATGACAACCTTTTTTTAGACAATACACACAGGTGATGTAATAACACAACATTTAATAAATTTGAATTGTACAGTAGCTTATTAAATCATTTCTCCTTGTATTTATTTTTATGGGAAGTTTTAAGTTGGAAATGTTTTTGTTTTAGGTCTGATTCCTTTCATCATTTTGTAGAAACATGTTTACAAAAACATCCAACAGATAGACCAACTGCTGCTAGATTATTGCAGGTAAAAATTAAAATCATTTAAAAATATGTATATATATTAAAAAATCTTTAAACCCTTTGGGAATCTGTCAAAATCTGATTCTTTTCAGATTTTGCTCCTTTAAAAAACAATATTTAAAATAAAAGAGGAAAAGTATTATATGTTCATTAGTGTCTAATCATTTCTGGAAATTATGCCACTTTCTTGTATATATGAAAATTTGATATTTTCCATGATAATTTAAATTAATTTGTTAGTTTTGAGGGATATGCATGATTTTTCTTTTTATATATTGTTAGTTTGGTACTAAAGTGGAAGGATTTAAATTTTGTTTACAAAGTGTTTCATGTAATAACATCATGCTTTGTGACTTGTAATGTTTTTATTAATATGTTTAATAATCTAACTATTATATGTAATATATTTATATATTTAATGTTAAGATTCTAAATGTCTTTATAATTTATTCCTCCCCCTACAGCATCCTTTTATAATTAGCCCTAGACCATCCAGAGTAATTATGGACCTTATACAACGTACAAAAGCTGCTGTGCGAGAGCTGGACAATTTAAACTATCGTAAAATGAAAAAAATTTTAATGGTAGATTCTCAAGAAAATGAAGTCAGTACTGGTGAACCGGAAGAAGATAGCACTGTATGTATAAAAATTCTACTTCTAAAATAATGTAGTAAATATGTGCTTTGTCCAAAGAGAAAAAAACGATACTTCTTTGATAGTGTCTCCCAAGATTGGATCGGCAATCAACCGAGACGTGTTGCTAAAATCTGGTTGTGTGTTCGTATATTTTGCCATGTAATTGTATATTAGCACCATTTAGCATTTTCGCTTTCGTAGCATGTTCTTATGTTATTCATTTTTGATGAGGTTTTTAAATTGCCATTTATTTAAAAATATATTCATTGATCTCTTTTTTTGGGGGGGAGGGGGGTGAATGCGATGTTAACAATCTTTAATTTAGCAAGTAGTGAGGTGGATGCTGTATCTTGTTTTCAAGAAAGAGATGTTTCACCTGACAAACAAATATAGGCAAATGGCCACAACATGAAACTTTATATTAATGGCAAAGCCATTTGGAGGTGCAGTATCAAAAATTGCCTCCATGTTGGAAATTGGTTCAGCGGTTCTAGAATATTGTTCATCACTGCTGTTAGATTTATGTATATTTGGGCAGATGACGTCCATGAAATGGTGTAACAAACAATTTAATACGAGGGGTGATCGAAAAAAAAGTTTACAAGGCAAATGAAAAAGTATTTATTAACAATAGAAGCAAGATACAAATGGGAATCAAGAGACACATCTGGCCTTCACTTTTCCACATAGTCGCCAAACCTGTTTAGGCATTTGTCAGAACGTTCGACCAACTTGTTTATCCCGTCTTGGTAGTAATCAGGGGCCCTGCTCATTGAGCCATTTCTCGGCAGCTGTTTTCACTGCATCGTGCCTGAGGTGAACCGTGTTCTGGATAAGTATCGCTTCAATGCTGGAAAAATGAAGTAGTCACTTGGAGCCAAATCGGGGCTTTATGGGGGGTGATTCCAGACCTCCCACTTGAACCTATGCAGCAATTCCTGAGTCTGGTGAGCTGTATGGGGCCTAGGTATTGTCATGCAGAAAAATGATGCGCCTTTGCTCAGTAATCCAGGCCGTTTGCGTCGGATGGCTTTACGCAATTTCGTTAAGGTGGCACAATAACGATCAGCCTTAATGGTATGGCCACGCTCCAAATTCTCGATTAGGATAACACCAGTCGTATCCCAGAAAACAGTTGCCATCACTTTACTGGCAGAGGGTGTGACCTTAAACTTCTTCGTCATTGGTGATCCAGCGTGTTTCCACTCCATCGTGGCTCTTTTGGATGTGGGGGTGAAGTGATAAAGCCATGTTTCATCACCGGTAATGATGTGATCAATGAAGTGTTGGCCGTCTGAATGGTATCTCTGAAGAAATGTGAGGCTGCACATCATTCGAGTGGCCTTATGCTCCGCGGACAACGCAGCGGGCACAAACTTTGGAATATCGTAACTCATCGGTTACGATACGCTGAGCGTTAGTTACCATGACTCAGGTCCAACTCTGAGGCAATCTCACGCACAGTTACTCATCGATCCCTTTGGATGATTTCTTCAACACATGCCATGTTGATATCCGTCCTTGAAGAACTTAGACAGCTGCTCGCTTCCATATTGCAGTTTTCCACATGCTCCTTGCCCGCTTGATAAGAACAACACCATTTCGCTACTTGTTGTCTACTCATTGCTTTGTGCCCGTATACCTCAACGATTTGTCTGTGAATTTCGGATGCGACCACATTCTTGGCCCATAAGAATCAAATTACAGCTCGCACCTCTATGCAAGACCACTTTTCTAGGCGTCGTGCCATTACTGTCGCTCTTAAGTTTCTGCGTACTGACGCTACTTACTCGTAGAACCGCTGTAGGACAACTAGCGCCATCTGTCAACCACCCTGAGTGGAAATATTTGCTCCACAATTATTACGTTTCAAATGCTTCTGCTTGTAAACTTTTTTTGGATCAACCTACGTATGTGTGAAAGTGTTGCAGTTGACTGAAACAATTACGTCCAATAAAATAATAATAGTTCTTAAAAAATATTCTTAGGAAACAGCATGTAATAAACTGCAAAATTATAGCTGAGATCTTGGCGCAAATGTAAAACTGCCAAATATGTTTGGGGCGTTTCATATTATCATTCTGTTATTTCTGCCACTTCTTTAAAAAGTATTAAAATATTTATAAAAGTGCAATTTGTTAGGCCATTATATTTTTGTTGAAATGCTTTCTTTTAATAGCATAAAAAGCTGTATGCAGAAAATATATTTACTTTTTTTACTTTATGTACCATGTTGTGACATTTTAGTCTTTATATAATCCTTATTTCTACTGCTATCTAAATGCTTTTCATGTTTGCAAATATTTTAAAATCATTGTTGGGGAAACACATAGAAGAATGTCATATTTCATATGATTCAGTATGCATCCATATAAAATGCTGATAATTATAAAGAAAAAGGAATTAGGAGATAAAAGTGCAGTGCATTTGTCAATATGCTCCTTATCCATAGACTATCCAAAGTTACAGAGAGTTCAGACAGAAGAGTCCTTAAGTTGAATTTTAAAAAGATGGGCATTTAGATAATCATGCCCAGTCAAAAGACTAACACCATAGCTACAAGACGAGGAAAATCTGGAGTAACTGGCTTTGAACTAGGGAGACACTCTTAGTCCTTTCCCTTAGCTTTGTTTGATAGTTAGAAGGCAAACCTCCTCTTAAATTCTATTTGAACTAGGAGTTTTGCAGAATTAAAAGTCATATATTTTCTTTTATCTGCTTGCAAATCTGCAATGATATCTCATTATGTTTTGGCAGCCATTTTTACTCTTGAAATTGTCTTTTTGAGTCTCACAATGTTTGATCTTGCCATGCAGTCCTTTTTTTTTACTATCCAATGAAAAAGGCTTGATCGAGTATTTCCAACAATGTGGAGTTTTCCCAAGAAGCAGATGTGAGTAATTATTTTGATTTCATAATAAAAGCAATAGGCAAACAGTTTACACATGAAATAAACACTAATTGACATGAACAATGCCCTTCTACTCTTTTTATAATTAAATTTATTATTCTCATTGTCGTATTTGTTTTTATGAGCAGGTAAAGGGAAAGTGCCAAAAAGCTTTTTTGTTTTAGAAATTTTTTTGTTGCAGGCACAAGAAACAAAATCAGAACACCTACAATTTTATGTACTTCTACATGTTTTTATTTACTTAAGTAAGACTTTTTTAAGGATCTGAAGAATTTCCAGAAAAGGAATATCATGAAATAAATTAATTACAATTTCAACAATTTTCAAATCTCTAGGAAGTAAAATGTATAGTAAACTCATTTGTTATTTGAGTTAGTATTGAGAGTTGCATGCACATTCAAAATATTGTGCATTTAGGCTATGGTAAATATCTTAAAGTTTGAGAAATCAAGAGCTTTAAAACAGATGTGATTACTTTTGGTTTCTTTTCACATCATAGTTTGCTGTAACCAAATACTTTGTTTGCCTCATTTCCAGGTTTTCTGTGTTTGTTTTTTAGTATTTACATGGACCTACAATACTAGGTTTAGTTTTAGACTAGATAGAAAATGGTATATGCCTTAATATTATGCTAATTTTAGTATAGTTTTATTTGCTTAGTATTGTGTTTATATTTGCATATAATTTCATAATAGATTATTCATTAATTTTTGTTTTTTCCCAGGTAATCAATCATTCTTTTCATTTACTAATTTCCAATCGACAGAATTTTTGAAAATTTCATACTTCATATTTTAGCACCTGTCACTCAAATTTCAAATTTTTTTTTTTTTTTTTTAATTTCATAGGAAGATGATCAGATGGGAGGGGACAGTAGTAAAAGTAATAGTATCACCAGTACTCATAGCCAACAAAGTGAAAATGTTAGTGCTGGAAGTCAAAGCAGTAGTACAAGTAGTCTTCCACCTGCCTCGGAAACAGATTCCACATATAATTATCCTGCTTCATTCCGTGAACGTGTTGGAGCACGTGTTAGTCCATCGGTATGTAACATTTCACAGATGTCTATTATTAGACTGTATCTTGCTTTTTTTTCTGGAGGGGTATGTTCCCAGAAAACCACCTATATTATCCTCTTTTATGTGTTAAATTTCTTACATCAATGCACATCCTTTAAGTCTCCTGTCATATGGTATTGCCCTTATAACTTAGATTTTGTGTTATTACTGTAGTTATATGAAAATATGAAATTATATGTAGCATTGAATGTTATAAATAGGGAGGTAGATATTCACATAAACTGTATACACATGGTAAAATTTTATTGTTAACTTAGGTATAGTAAGATATTGCTAGTGTTAAATTAATTGGTAAGCAATCTCAAAGCCTCATGTAAATAGGCTTGAGCTAATATTTGCATCCTGGCTGGAAAATGGAAAGTGGCAGTAAGGTATGCTGTAGGTTATAAGGTTATATTTTACATTTACAATGTCTTGTATATATGAATATGATTCTTTGTAATGTTTCGTCATAGTCCTTAAGTTCCTTTCCAAACAAAGTACTGCATAGGCAATAAAACTTCAGGCTTAGTTCCTTATTTATATCTATGCTGATGGTCGAAACTACCATAAATAGCAATTTGAGCAGATCAGAAAATTATTTTTGTTGGTTACAGCTGAATATTAATTCTCTTGCATAAAAGCATCTTATTATTTCATAATTAGGATTTTCAAAAATAGGGATATACTGAAAACAGTCTATGTTTGTGGTGGTTATTACACGATGCATCTTAATTTTAACCTGTTATGAGTAATTTGTCTCCTCAGGTGAAAAATATGCAGAAGTATGTGAAAAATTGTTGTTAAAAACTGTGTTCATCTATGAATTTGAAATGTTTGGAATTTCAGATAGAGTAGCAAACTGTTTGGCAGTATTTATTACAGTGATGCGAAAACGCTTAAGATGAAGTATCGGTTAACATGAAATAATACAATGGTCCTGACAAACTGCTATATATTTTCATGCATATTTTTTTTCTCTTAACATGAAACGAAAATCACTTAACATGAAAAGATTTCCCTTTTGGGAATGAACAAAATACAGAGAACACACCAACCGCGCAGGCAAGATTTAAGAGGGGTGTGAAATGAATGATAGGGGGTTTCACATGTTTTGTAGAAAGGAGGCTAACTTGGCTTTGAAATACCTTCGGAATAACCTTTGACACGAACCAATTTTGTTTATGTAAGGAATCCTACAAACTTCATGCAAACATATCTCATCTCTCATCAGTTGGCGTTGGAATTTGGTGATGAGTTTGGTGACATCGCAGTGCGAGTGAAAATCCGTGAGTTTGGTTTGTGGTTCCCCCCCCCCTATTTTAGAAGAATTATTTTAAGAACACAATGTCAAAAAGCTCAGGGGGAAAGCAAATTGCTATTTCACTTAAAAGGGAGAGGGAGCTTCTTAAGGCTGTTGATGAAAAGCAGAAGCGAAAACAGAAGTTTGTAAATGTTTTGATATTGCTAACTCTACATTATCAAGAATAATTGAAAAAAGAGCAAATTATAGCAATTTCAATGGAGTAAATTTGAGCCAGACCGAAAACGAATGAGAACATCCAAGCATGAGGATTTAGAGATGGCTTTACTTGTTTGGTTCAAACAAGCAACATGTCAGAATACTCCCATATCAGGGCCTTTAATGCTAGAAAGAAGCAATGACCTTGTTAAACAAATGGGTATTACATTTTCTGCAAATCCAGGATGGTTGGAAAAGAAATGGCATAGTACTAAAAAATGTTTGCAGCGAAGCTAATCAAGTTTTACTTACCATGACAGCAAATTGGTTTTGGTCTACGTTGCCTTCAGTATTTGAAAAATATGAAGTGAAAGATGTTTTCAACGCGGACAAAACTGGGTTATTTTACCACTGCTTACCCAATAAAACTTTATTGTTTAAGGTAAAACTGTCTAAAGAATGGATTACGGGATTGGTAAAATGCAATTATATGGTTCTGAAAAACTACCCTTATTTGTTAATGGTAAAAATTTGAAACCGCTGTGTTTTAAGAACATAAGAACATTACTGGTTGAATATGCAGCAAATAAAAAAGGCATAGATGGTAGCTGCGATATTCACCGATTGGATCATAAAGTTAGACGAGCGATTCTTATGAGAAAAGTAAGGTTGCAAAGATAATTGATAATTGTTCAGCTCACCCCAACACTGTATTGAAAGCTATAAAGCTTATCCTTATGTTTTCACCTCTGAATACAACATGTGTCTTGCAGTCTTTTCATCAAGGGATTGTACAAAACATGAAATCTTTCTACCGGAAGCAATTGCTTTAAAAATCTTTACTTGCAGTTCATGCAAATGAAGATTTCTCAATCAATTTATTAAATGTTTTTCATATGTTGCACTCTGCATGGATTTCAGTGACTCCAAGGACGACTGAAAATTGTTTTTGTCATGCAGGATTCTCAAAAGTATCAGATTCTTTGGTGCCAAAAGAAATGGAGAAGGTGAAACTGAGCTGACTTTTAATGAAATGTTTGAGAACGTTTCTGTATTATTGGACTGTCCTATTGTTTTATTGGAAGAATTTGTTGCGGTAGGTGATGCTAATTTGTGTACAGCCACAATTATGGCAAATACATTCTGGAGTTTGTCCAAAGCTAAAAAAAAATCATTAATGCAGATTCCAATTATTATGAAATTAATAATACAGCTCCTGTTCCCACGTCTTCCAAAATGAGGAACATCATAAAAAGTATGCACAGTTAATTTAGGCGCACATTCCAGTGGTGAAATGAATAACAAAATGGATGACATCGAACAGTTTGTTGAAAATTTGATGCTCAAAAAACAATACAAAGAAAAATATCAGATTATTTTCCAAAAACTCAATAAATGTTTTTTTTTTAAAAACTTGAAAATTTTTATTAAATTTCATTAAATTCTTGTGGATGCTTTTATTTCGTTGATTTTTATTAAATACATGCGTATATACATATCTGTGTAAATAAAATGTACTCTAATGAACTTCATTTTGTTAAATATATTTTTATTTCAATATCCTTTAACACGCAAAAATATTTCACTGCCCTCAGTTTTGTATTAAATGGTTTTTATTGTTTATATATTGGATCATATTTTCTTGGAGACATTTTTTTTTCTACCAAGAAACACAGTATAAAAAGCAAGCATTAGGAGGAAAAAAAAAGAACAGAGTAGTTCAGAAAATTCTAATTTACATCAGGATGTGTAAAATAAAAAAAAGAACACAAAATTTATGTATTTGCTGTTATATATGTAACCTTATACGAAAAAATGAAACATTAGAATAGTTTTGTGCAAATAATTTTCAGTGACAGATTAATCATGTTGCCATTGTAATTGTTTTGAAATGATTTTCTTCTCTCAAATGTTTATGTCATAGGAACTGTGATAAATATGCATTTAAATACATCCTTGCAGAACCTTGTTGTTTCTTGTTTGCCATTTGGTAAAGCCATATAGTGTGTTGGTGTTCTGAGTATGTGCTTGTGAACTTGTCGTATAGGTTAATGAGTGTATTCAGTACTTTCAACTGTTTGCATTGAATAAATAGTCTGTTTAACAATTCATAAATATTGCTGAGTTTTTGGCCATAGGTTGTGCAAGTTTTTGCTGCTTATTTTCAACCATTTTTGAAAACCACTTGTGTTTTTCATGAAATTCAACCTTCTAGCATTTTTTTTTCCTTCAGTTCGAAAAATCTATCCTCAGCCTCTACAATTTTGTTTTTATCTCCTATCTTAGGATCTCTTTTATTAACAATGGGACAAAGTTTTGGGTTCTATTCAATTTTTTTAACACATTTGAAATTTTGATTTTTAGTTATACATGAATAGAAGCAATGGCAGAAAGCATTCTGCTGCCTTGGAACCAAGTATGAATTGAACCATGCTTCTGTCAACAGCACCTTATGCTGCCCGGCTGTGTATTTTCTTTGATTTTATGGTATAGCTGTATGTTCATAATTTTATTTTAAGGAAGATAGCAAACTTTTTAAAAGCAAGAATGCAAAAACCATAGCAAATTCTGTAAGCTGTCTTGTTTATCATTATTAATCAAATTTTGAATTGTAAATGAAAGGTAGTTAGCAAAACTAATGTGCTTAGTGAGAAAAAATTGCAAATGATTATTATTGAGATATCCTTTTTAGAGATGGAAAAGCGTTAGAAGTAAGGTTTCTGAAATGTCACTGAAAATGTTTATGAGCAATAATATTTGACCTCTGATAGGTGCTCATTTGGCCTTATAATTCATGGAAATTTAATGAATTTTAGTGAGAAAAATGAAGTATGATCCAATCTAAGGTGTTATTCTTATGAGAAATAAAATAGAATTGAGGCATCATACAGCTACCTAAAGTGGCAGAGCTTTCTGTAGCACAGGAATAGTGAAAGAGGATCTCCTTTCATTCTGTGGACTAATTAGTTTTTTACTTGGAATATTTATTTACTTACGTTATTTTATTTTTCAGTGTATGAACACACCTTATTTTTTAATAATTAATAATTGACAATCAATTTTAAAGCAACTTTCCCTCCATTTTTTCAAATAGTTTACATAAATTGTATGGGGTATGTTATTTTTCAGTGCTTAATTTCATTCTTCTTCCATTTTTAACTTTAAAATTTGATGACTTAGGATGAGTGATAATTAGTGATCATTACAATTTTTAACTTTTACTGCTTCTTTCATTATTATTAAAAAAAAAAGGAGAACTTATTGATAACATAATGTAATCAGTTTGTTTCATCAGTATAATGTAATCACTAAACAGATTACAACATGGATGCTTAAAATCTCTTATGGGAACTATTTTTATAGGTCCAAAGATTAGTTTTTAAACATTTGATACCTCCCTCAGTAGTAATAATAATATTTTCAATGAAAACATCTAGTACTGCATGTTACCATTCACAAAGTCAAGGTATTATACATTTTAATGTGATTACATAGAGCAGTTTTCTCATTGAAGTTATTTCTTGCTGTTATAAATAGAACTACTGAAAAGCACTCGCAGGCAATTCTGTAAATAATTACAAAGGTACTTCAATAGCTAAAAAGTAGACTTTTAGAAATTTTAGTAGTTTAGTAGAAATGTTTAGGAAGTCTCTCTCATCTACATGTATGTTAAGCAAAATAAAATTTTGAAGTGCATTGAAAATTATACTTATATCTTTTTTTCAGAAGATATAGAATATGTCATATTATATAGTTTTAGTTGTTTTTCTCTTCCCCCCCCCAAAAAAAATAAATTCATAGACTTTTTTTTAAAGTTTAAACATTTAAAAAAGTTAATAAGTAGAAAGTTTGCATGATTATTATATCACTTTCCAAGACAGTATTACCGAAATAGTATTTTAAATTTCTTTTAAAAGTTAAAAAAGTGAAGATAAAAACTAGTTGAATTTTAAAGGAATCTTTTCACCGTTGTTTCACAATGCTGAAACTTTTGACCTTTTTTCAACTTACTCAGAAATAAGATCTGCTTGTTTATATTTAATTTTATATAGTTAATCATTATTTCAAAAGTGTGTGTTAAATGATAAAAATGTTTGTCGTCTTTTTAATTCCATGTATAAATTTTAATATTGCTCTGAAATATTTGTAAAACTTTATTTTAGAATTCCTCATCTACGAGTCTTAATAGTGCAGATGTTGGAGCTAATAATTTTGCTACTATAAGAACTACGTCCATTGTAACTAGACAGATCAAAGAACATGAGCAAGAAAATCATATGCATGAGCAAATGTCTGGTTACAAGCGAATGAGGCGACAGCATCAGAAAGCTCTCATTCAGGTAAGCTCATTCATTTTATACCCCTTCACCAAATTTTAACATTTGTATTTCAAGATTTAAAAATTAACTTGCATTATATTAGTTTGCCCGTAATAAAACTTTCTTTCTAGTTTACAACATGCATTTTTTATTATTTAAATGATGTATTACTGTAAAAAGACAAAAAAATTTCAATACCTGGTGTCAACTATGAAGAGATGGTAAAGTGCCTCATTTTCTGACTTTTGCCAAATCCTGTTAATAAAGGCCAGCATTTGTCAATACCAGTTGATAAAAGTCAATTTTAGTTGATTTTAATGTTTTTTTAAGAGTATGTGTTGTAATTTTTAATTGTTCTTTAAATTTATAAGATTTAAAATTTTTCAACACTTATTTATTTTTTAATTTTATGCAATTACTCTTTTATATGATATCTGTACTGTTGGGTTTATACTTTTAGTAATTTTTTTATTTTAAAACCATGCAAAGGAAATAGGAAATTAATGCATCAATCTATTATAAAGTGAAATTCTGGATTTTTCACCATTAAACTAGTACTTAACAATGATATATGTTTTGGGCATTGATGTTGCTAAATGCATTTATAAAATAAAATACTTTGCCTGAAATCACAGCTTAGTGAAAAAAAAAAAACATTATTATTATTATTATTATTATTATTATTATTTTTTTTTTTTTACTTTTAGAGTTTTTAGTGGGGTAAATGCTGTGATTTAATTGCAAAACATTGTATATATTGTTCGAGCTTTTGGCAGTAGTAATGAGTATATGTATACTTTCTGCATTTTTATGTTTTATGTCATTTATGTTTTGAGTTATAAATATGATGCAAATTCAAATGAATGGTTCTAAAAAATAAAATTCATTGCGAATTTATGTAAAAAAGTGTTATTATTGTACTATTGTTTAACTTTCATTAGTGGTGTATAGATTTAATGTCTACAGTGCAATATTTGAATTTATGAAGTAATATGCAGTTTGCAAGTTTTTGATCATTTTCTTTTCCATCCCTCCCAAATTAATAGCTTGAAGCAAAATGTAGACAGGAGATGGAAGAACACAAGCAAAAATTAGATAAAGAATATGAAAATTTACTCCAACAATTTAGCAAAGAATTAGAAAAAATTCAGATACGGCATCAACAAGAATTAGAGAGAAAGGTAATGAATGTATAAGGAGGCCATAAGAACTGTAGTTACTCAGAAGTCTGAAAGTTAACTTTTTCTGGCTATTTTAATATAAAATTTTCCTCTCTTTTCAGCTTAAACAGAATTTAGCAAGTGAAAAACGGTTAAGCAAGAACATTACTCAACAGCATGAAGAAGAAGTGAAACGTTACCAAGCACAACAGAAAACAGAGTACAAGTATTTGAAGGATCGCTTAAAGCGAGTAAGTTTGTTAATGCTTTTCTATCTATTATTCTTCAATAACTAAATAGCAAACTTTCTTGTTACAACCAATTGCCAAACTTGACTACCTTTGAAAGAAGCCAGTATTTTTGATAACGTAAACAAATATTGATACTTAGCACTCCCACTCTGAGTTTACTGTTCTCCTAGATATAAAAATCATCTATATCTGTGAGTGGTCATCTTAGGGTTCTTTTTATTTACTATATGATCATATTATTATGCAAAAAATAAGGAAGGGAAAGCCTCGTGTTTTTTAGATAATCCAGAGGCAGAGACCAAAATCTGTCTAAACAGAGGACCTTACCACAACAAAGTGGTTGATCAACACAGTCTTTGTGTTTGTAAATTAAGTCTTTGACTTAATTTGAGCGAATTGTTGGTACTAGGACTTTTTGTAGAAGTCTTTAATCTTTCATGTTCGAAATCAGAACTACAACAATGGCGCCATTTTGATGAGCCTCCCGTGGGACCTGCCTTCATCTCACAGGAAACAAAGACGTAAAAATGCCATACAGGTAGAATAATCAGAGTAGGAAACTAGATTTACAAATACAAATTTAATTAAAGGAGGCCAGTTAGTCTTGCTGTGATCATCTTTTCTACCCATCTAAAAATGCAATAAATTTTTCACTTTATTTAAAAAAGAAAAAAAAAAAAAAAAAAAAAAAAAGAATCATAATTTTCTTTGTTACAGTTAATGCTTAGGTGTAATCTTTATACACCCTCTAATATTTCTAAACATTTTGCTGTTGGTAACTACATATAGCAAAGCTATTCAAAGGAAAATGTGTGTTCGTAAAAAGTCTTGTTATTATTGCTAATTGGCTGAGTATGTTATATTTTGCTGTATAAATTTTTAAATTCATTGCTTAATATAATTGGAAAATACTTTTATATTGAAAATAGTTACAGCTAGTTTCTAGATAGATAGGTACTTCATGTGCAGATGTGGCATATCATTATTTAATTACAATTTCAGGAAATGAGCAGTCGGGAGGAAGCTTCACCTCGTCAGAGAGATGATGCAATGCGTAATCATAAAGAGGAAGTTCTCCAGCGACAGACAGCATCCTTACAACGTTTACAGAGGGAACAGGGAGATTCTCATCGACTAGAAATTAGGAAATTTAGGAGACGAAAATTGCTGCAGTTTCATCAGATGGAACAAAATTTACTACGGGATGTATGTAGTCTTAAATAGTAGAATTTATGTTTATATCATTTATTTTATCTGTCTTACTAATCTTCTTTTCTTTCTTTCTGCCTTGTATTTTTATTATTCAATTAAGTTTTAAAGCGTTATCATATTCTTCTACTATCAGTTCTTATTATGTTTGTTATTTTTTCATTATTTAGCAATATGTATTTGTTTTTCAAACAGTGATTGAGAAATGAATCCTAATACGAGGGCTATCCAGAAAGTAGATTACGTTTTGGAATAAAAAAATAAACAAAGTATAGGAACAAATTTTATTATATCCAGATGAAAGCCACACTCAAATACTACTTTTACATAGTAGTCACCATACAATTAAGCATTTATCGTAGCGATGTACGAGCTTGGAAATTCCTTCGTCGAAAAATTCGGCGCCTGCGCCTTCAACCACTTCGTTACCTCTTCTTGCAGCTGTGCGTCGTCATCAAAACGCTGCATAGCCAGCCCACTTCTCCATTGCTGGGAATAGGTGGAAGTCCGCTCGGTGCCAGGTCGGGACTGTACGGCGGATGAGGAAACAACTCCCACTTAAAAGATTCAAGAACTTTACGAGTGACATTTGCCGTGTGGGGCCGGGCGTTGTTGTGAATCAACAAGATCTTAGAGCTCAACATTCCTCTGCGCTTGTTTTGAATTGCTCTTATGAGTTTTTGGAGAGTTTGGCAATACCTTTGAGAGTTTATTGTAGTGCCTCTTTCCAGGAAGTCCACCAAAATTACAACCTTTTCTTCCCAAAAAACAGTCGCCATCATCTTCCTGCCGACATGTTTGCATGCATTTCTTGGGTTTTTGGGGAGAACTTTGTGTGCCCCCCACTGCATTGATTGCAATTTCGTTTCACAGTTCACTGTTTCACCCATGTTTTGTCACCAGTAACGATGCGATCGAGTAAAGAGTCACCATCCTTATGGTAGCGTCCAAAAAGTTCAACGCTGCAGCCATTCGCTGATTTTTGTGGTCCTCTGTCAGATTTTTGGAATCCATCTTGCACAAAACTTGTGGTAACCAAGCTTTTCGCTGATGATTTCGTGCAACAACTTCGCGAAATTTGTGGAAAACTCAAAGAAAGTTCCGTTATTGTGAAATTTCGATTTTCACGGACTTTAGCATCGACTTTTTCGAGAAGTTCGGCGGTCACTATGCTGGGTCTCCCACTTCGATCTTCGTCGTGAACATTGGTTCGGCCATTTTGAAATCTTATGACCCACTGACGCACTCCACCTTCAGTGATAATGTTGTCCCCATACACTTCACGAAGCTGCCGATAGATTTTCTATCGGTTTACAGTTTTTTTGCAGTCAGAAACCTTATTACTGAGCGCACCTCGCAGCTCGCGGGATTTTCAATTAACGCAGACATTTCAAACCGTCACAGTATCTGAACGGAGCACAGCACGAACCTCTCACTAGCGGCTAGATGCAGACTGAGCTGCGCAACGCTCTGAACCCCAAGATGGCCGCGCTAGTCCTGCCCCTAGCGGACAACAGACGGAAACGTAATCTACTTCCTGGATGGCCCTCGTAATTTGTTTTTTTATAATATATAATGATTTTTATAATATCTGATACACCAGAGGACTATCATGTAAAAGTCAATTTCTTTTAATTTCTTTCTTTCTCTCCAAATATAAACACAGTTGGAAAAAACATTATTAAAATATGAAATATATATGTACTTAAGATGTTTATCAGGTTATAGCTGTTCGGAATGTGTCATATCCACTTTAATTTTAATAAGGAAGTGAATAAAATTGAAGAATTATAGATATTAGTCATATAATGGCATTATGGTTAGTCAAATTGATTGAAATGTGGGATTTTAAATGAATATTAGCTTTTTTGTATAAATAGAATTTTCATTTATGCAAAATATTTTTCTTCGTCTCTCAGTATTGGCTTATCAAAGCTTGACTGTACTTAGAAAATAAAAGTTTTGGGGTTTAAATAGAATTTTTTACCAATGTTAAATGTTGAGTATATATATTAAAGCATATTTTCTGTAATACTTAATAAAATTACATGACACTCCCCCCCCCCAAAAAAAAATCTTTGAATGTTATTTTAGACAAATTATATAGTTTAATGCAGTATATACTGTCTACAGTAACATTTTAAGATTTTCGTTTTAAAATCAGCTATCTGTACAGTACAATATATTAAAATTCATAATTGTTTCAAAATAGAAATATAATTGTAGAAATTTTATTAATTTTCAGAAAGCTGTGTTGATTCAAAAGTGATATTAATGTGAATAATAATAAATAACTAAGATGTTTTAGAAATGCCAGGAAGGAAAATGAGTCAAAGAGATTTCTCAGTTTAACTACAGTGTATCTTATTTTTTGTCTTTCTTACAAATGCTCATTGAAGATTAATTAAGTAAATTTTAATTATTAGAAAATAATGTTCTGATTTATGGGATTTTAAAGTTAAAAACTATGCTCTTACTAGATGCCTTTATTATCATAGGAATTAAATAAAAGACAGGCTCAGCTTGAGCAAGCACATTCAATGTTGCTTCATCATCATGAAATGACGCAAGAATTAGAGTATCGCCAACAGAGGGCTGTTCATCAATTAAGAGAAGAACATGTACGAAAACAACATCAAACAGAACTTGCCAATCAACAAGAATATAATTCTAGGCGAGAACGTGAACTTCGAAAAAAGCATGCCTTAGAAGTAAAACAACAGCCTAAAAGTTTAAAGGTACAATTAAAATGAGTTATTCAGTTGTTTATATATAGCAAATGTCTAGGAATTTATTTTTTTCTTAAATAAAAAAGTTCTGTATTTTATCCCTTTTAGTTTTGTAATCCCAGTGGTGAAGGAATTTTGTTATAAGATGTGTTCTTTCTTGCTTATTGTATTAAAATGTAAATCATGAAATTATCACTCTTTGCTCAAGTTAAACTATGAATACTTGCTATGGAACAGTTTATAACAACCAGAAATATAAGAAATGTTTATGTTCTGTACTAATGAGGTTATAAGTATACTCTGCCCTTCCTTTGTTGTTTCAAAGCAATTCCATTGGACAGAAGACAATACTTAGTTCAAAGTATATTTATCTGGTTTATTGACTTATGGTTAAGGATGATGTCTTAGGGTTAATGTCTGTTCCTTATAATTGTCAAACCTTAAATCACCAAAAAACTTTTTGTTTAAGAGTCTTGAAAATAAAAATGCAAAACCTTTTGATAATCCATGTTAAAAAATCTGATGTGTACACCACATGACTTCCTTGTATGGAATATTAAATTATACGCATTTTTTCTTGCATTTCATTTAAACTTATTGGATTGAATTAAATTTATTTTGTCATTAGTGCATAAACCACAATAGAATAAATGCACTTTTTAAAATTCACTATATTTGTTTCCTATAGCGACACTCTGGCCCTAGGTTCGCTTAACAGTGTTAAATTTTATTCATTTTTTAACTTAGAATACACAAAATTTATATCATCATAAGAATTATCTAATCGTTGCCACATATTCTATTCAAATACTGTAATAAATCTAAAACGATGTATAAAAGAAATTAAGCAAACAACAACAACAAAAAAGAAACATTTTTCACAGATGATTCAGTATTTCTCATTCAGTTAATTCAGTTTTCACTTCACGACAAGGCAAAAATACCTAAAAACTCGAAATATCTGTATTGAAAATTATGAAGTAAGTCTTAAACACTTATTTCCTCGAATAATTTTCAGAATGGATTAAGCATGATTTAATTCACAATAATAAAAGAAGGCATTATCTTTGTTTTTGCAAAGCTTACTTTCATTAGTTTGACAACAAATCTACTATTCTGCTGTTTCAAATGTAAACAAACATTGCCGCCATGGCAAAAGGCTTAGCGGCACTTAAACAACTTTTAAATTGTTAATAATTCTAAAAATATTGCATGCAGATTTACTAAAGGCATAAAAAACCTTAACCAGAAGATAAGAACAACATAATTCAATCATTTTTAAAGAAAAAAGTGCCCAATTTACAAAAAATATATATAAGAATAAAGAAACAAAGTGCCCAATTTACAAAAAATATATATAAGAATAAGAAACAAAGTGCCCAACAAAAAATGATATAAGAATAAAGAAACTGAGATTACTGAGCCGAGTAATAGAGTGGATATAATATATACATATATTTATACACTTTTGGTGCGACTGATTGCAACCAAAATACGAGGTGCACATCTACATGTTATAGCAATCCTATATACAAAATTTCAATGTTCTGAGGCTACTCAATTTTGAGTTATGTGAGATACGTACATACGCACAGATGCCATGAAAATTTCTCTTCAGAATTCATTTTAAATCAGTTTTATAATTTTTTGGGGGGGAGGAAAAGAGTCTTTTTTTTCTGTCCTTACGTATGGATGTCACCCAAAAATATCGTTAAATTGCATTTGATAGCGGTCAAAATAGATATTTTCATTGAAATCTGATGCTTTTTTTACTTTGTACAAGAAAGTAAAAAAATAAAGAAATGTTTTCTGACATGGGAAACCACGTTGATTAACCAGTTATATTATACCTATTATGTATAATAGACCACACTCTGAATAGGTCTTTTTTTGTTATGGAAAACAAATTTCTGGAAGACTTAGGTAAGTGTGTCAATGATAGCAGGCTCCTGAGTGTAAGCCCCATCCTGAGTGAAATAATATACAGATTGAGCATATAATGTCTTTGTGGCTATCTTTGTGATGTTGCATTAGGGAGAAAAGCCTGAGAGCTAATCTTGTGGCATTCATGAGATGTCTTCTGGAGGCTAAATAAGTCTTGTGAAAAGTCCAAGTGGATGTAACGGTGGTCGAAAAACACCTGTTTCAGGTTGGAGCAAAAAGAATCCTTCACTAATCGGCAATAAGAATAGAAGTATTTTGAAGAGGTCACAGTTTGTCTAAGCAAGAAGGTTCTATATCAATGAATGCTAATCTGCTGAACAGTGTTTAGATGTGGTGGGCAAGGAGAGGTTGAAGGCATGGCCACTGATCATGTGAAAAGCAATGAATTAATCAGAAGGTGGAAAACAGGAGTACAGTTTACAGATTTGAGCAAGTTAGGCACTGGATGATGGGCAGGATTCTTTTAGAATCATACATAATTTTAAGAGTTGGCTGAAAAATAAGGGGATAGGACAATTTTAAAAGATAAAATTAAGAATTAAAAGGATGAGATTACATTTTTCTGGGGTGTGGTGTAAAAGTACTGTGAGTCATATGTGATAAACTACTGATCTCTCATATTTATTAATTTCACTAACAACTTCTAGAAAGATGTACACTTTATCTACTGAAAATGTTAGTGCTTTTAATTTGGGTATGTAGATTGAAAACTTTATTCATTGCTGCAGTTTGATTTTTTTCTAAAGATTTCATTAAGTTCTGTGATATACTTAAAAAATCTTAGAAATTTTGATTCCATTTGGATCAGTTGTATTTTTTAAAGGATTTCTTTTTTTGAGCATCAGTATTTTCGTTATTAGAAACGGTGTTACTTTGGTAGATGGTTGCACACATTTTGGCCTTTTTTTTTTTTTTTTTTTTTTTTTTCAAGCGATGCGATTTATGGTAAACCCCTTGCTGGACAAGTTATTTATGGTAACCAATACTTTGTTGTCATTTTATTTAAAAAATAATGCTTTTTATTATGCATAAATTCCTTGTTTTAAATATTATTTAAGGCTTCTAAATATTAAAAATCAATTTAATTTTGCATTTTTTTTTGAAAAAAAATTTTATTTGTTTATGATATTTTGTATGATTTATGTTGTGGATAATGTAATCAATGACATCACCTTCTTTTAAAAGTAATTGGTTTTAATAACTATAAATTCAATCTAATGTTTTAAACATTATTTATGTCTGTTACATATTAAAATACAATTTAATTTTGCATTTTTTAAAATGATTTTATTATGTATGATTATTTAAATCATTTTAATTCTAGGCGTGATGTAAGGATTGGTTACAGAATATTTGTGCATTAAGGAGCTGTAGTCAGGTCCCTGATTTTTTACTGAATATTAGTGCATTAACGAGCTGTAATCAGCTCCCTGATTGGTTACTGAATATTTGTGCATTACTGCACCATTTTAAAATTTTATTATTCATCTCTTCGAATTCCTTAGATTTCATAGGAAATGGATATGTCCCTTTCAAAGATTAATGTTATTATTGGTATGTACCAAGAATTTTGGTATCAGAATAAAAAAATTGTCCTTCGAGACCTTATTATGGCTAACCTGGCTTTCCTCAACAAAGATTTATTTATAAATTGCTACAAGGGTCAGAGGAAATTTATCTTAAATTTTTGGAGGAAACCTCACTAATTGCTTCTTCAATGAAGTGCGAGGAATGTGGATCACAGATGAAGATTGTTAGAAGAGCTGATTCTGTAGCCGTATATGGTATTGTGGTTAGGGTGGAAGAAATAATCGCTTGTAACGGTAAAAATGTATTAGACATTCGTCCTTTTTTACCAGCAATAAACTAATTGATGTGATTTTAGCTCTAGTGTACGAAGCGTTCTTATTTACTTATATTAAAGTATTTGAATTTAAGTAATATTTTAACTCTTTTAAACGTTGGCGCAATGTTTTATTCTATTTCTTTGCTGTATGAAAGTAATAATTTAACCTTACATTAGTATTTTATGCTCATAGTAAATGTATTTATTTACATTTGCCTGCCATCTTAAAAAACAGCATTTTCAACAAAAAATTAATCCATTATTTTTAACGATATTTATTTTTTAAAAGTTTCGAATACTTTACTATGCACAAAATATGTAAAAACAGCGTTTTTCAAGTTTATTTTATTTTAGATCTGTAACTTGATATTTTGCTTGGAAAAATGCTGGATATCCTTTTGCTGAATGATGTTATGTGAATTGTAATGTTTAATTTTATAACTATTTTAAATTGTTAATCATAATAGAGTAAGGAATTAAATTCTTACTGAAAAAAATTTGAAGAGAAACAGACTATTAAAAAATTGATGTACTGTTCTGTATTCTTTTTTATCAAAATTATGTGAATATTAGTCCATTGTGCTGTGTGATTATAAATATTTCTCTGAATAACAATAAATATTTATGAAGTTCTTTTACATAATCTTTACAGCAAAAAGAATTAATGATTCGAAAACAATTTCGTGAGACTTGTAAGATCCAGACCAGGCAATATAAAGCATGGAAGAATCAAATTCTAGCATCCACTCCAAAGGAAGAACAGAAATTAGTAATTAAAAAATTAAAGGAAGAACAGATGAGAAAATTAGCAATTTTAGGTGAACAGTATGAACAAAGTATAGCAGATATGCTTCAAAAACAATCTGTAAGTACTAATTCTCTATTTCTTCTGAAATTTTTGTAATTAATTATACACTGTAGATTGCAGTTGTGTAGGATAAATGTAGTATAGGTAATATATATTGTAATGGAGAAGAACGTGTACTGTAATATACTAGTGCTGTGTAGTAATTTGTTTCTGAATTGCCAGTAGAAGTCGAGACAAATTGGTCCACGTACTTTGAGTCCAGAGGACTGTACCAGTTAATTTTGGTCAGAATTTTAAGGAAGTAGAAACCATATTCACTACTTTCAATGAAAACACTAATATGTTCAGAATTAAAGTTTGTAACAATTATGTGTGGTTCTGTGATTCTGAAAACAATTATATGTGATATTCAGAAATGTGTAATTTAACATCACAATTAAGAAATTAAATCAATGCATTGTAAAAGAAGATGGTCTTTAAGACTGTATTTTAAGTCTTGTTCTGATATAGGGGCTACCACATACATCATTTAACTCATAGAAATATCTCAATGTAGGCTTTTTGCTAACTCCTTTTGTAATTATTTTGAACTCCTTTTCCTTTATTTCCTGGTTGTTTCTTTAAGAATTTAAAATTTCCATATTATTTAATTTCAGCTTAGAGCTAATTTGGGTTTTTAAAATTCACAAATCTTCATTTCTGGGGTCGTCTTTCAATTACTATTCTTCAAACAAAGTTTTTATTATTTTCCTTTTATTGTTAAATCATTTAATTTATATATTATACTATTTTGATGTGTGTAAATGTGTGACATTTTCAGATACGTTTAGATGAATCGCAAGAATTAGAATATCGTCAGTTGAAGGATCAGTTACAGCAAGAGCTAGAACTTTTGACTGCCTTCCAGAGTAAGATCAAAATGCAAGGAGAAGCTCAGCGTAATCGAGAACGTCGAGAACTAGAAGATAGAGTATCTACACGACGTGCACTATTGGAACAGAAAGTATGTTCAGTTTGTATAAATTTTTAATTAGAAAGTAATCTCCTATTTCATATTATTCAAGATTTGATAAATCTGCTTAAAACTAATCTTATTATGTAAAAAAAATAAGCACTTTTGAACTTTCAAATCTAAATTCTATTGTGAAATACCAATAAAGTTTATTCTTTATTTAAGCTTTTAATAATGACAAATTATATGTAGGTTTGACAAAACTGTTTGTTATTCAGCTGACTTTCTTTCTCTTAAAAAAATTGTTTATTTTTTAATATTTTATATACATTGCATCCAAAAGTAATGAATGTTAAAAGGAGATTTTTTTTTAATTGGAAGTAATAAAATTATAATTTATCTTCAAACTAGGCATTGGGCAGTCAGGTACAACAAATCCAATATTGATTCATACAGTAAAAAAAAGTCTTCATTTGAGATGTTATTCAATTCCCTCATAGCAGTTGCATTGTTATTTTCAGTTGTTCCCATTTTATGTCTTCTTAGCTGAGTTTTGAACTTTTAGGATGAAGGAAATCACAGAGAGACAAGTTAGGACTTTATGGTAGATAGGAAAATGGGGTGATATTTATTTAATTAAAACTTCCCTCACACAAAAATATGCAACTTGACACATAGTCATTGTTTGCTATCACATATTAGCTGTTTCACAACAGCTACACATTGCTTCAAATATTCAATAATCTCTCTAACCTGTTCCTGTATAAATAATATTGATGTAAATTCTTAGCAGATTATATGCACACTGTTGGTTTTCAATGCTCTTTCTTCCTATTATGAATACCATATGTCATGTGATGATTTGAGCTGAAGACAAATAGCATACCCATAACTATTGTTCAAGTTTCCTTCTATGTATTTATGCCTAAGACAGGAAATAAAAGTCACATTTTGCTGACATACAGATTGCTATCTCTTAAAAAAATTCTTATCTCTGTATCTTATTACTTATTACTGTATCTTATTACTGTGTATCTTATTACTGTAGATATAGATTCAACTGAAGAATGGCAAACTGTTTATAGAGTTTTCTGCCCTACTTGCATTAAACCTCATCTCCTTTTTTCTGACTCTTCTTCATGAGAAAAAACTTCTAATTACTTTTGGGGCAGTTTTTTTTTACGTTGTTATGTGCAACCTTTTTTAGCCTTGTCATAAGTTTTATTTTAATAATTTAGATGGAGTTAGAGAAGCAACAATTTCAAGAAGAGCGAGCTGCAAGACAGAAAGAACTTCTTGATCGCCAGGCTGGTGAAATTGAGAAGTTTGATGAAGAGAGTGCTCGTCTGGGCTTTGATGCAATGGCTATAGCAGAAGCTTCTCAGGAACCACTTCCTGCGGACGACATCAGCATCAGTGGTAGCATGTTGAGTCTGGCACATAGTAATAGTGCCAGTTCATTTACTCATACTGCACTCTAGTACATATTAATTTCTTCTGGAAATGCATTTTGAAACATCCACAAATACTTAGGTTATGAAGCAACTCCTCCAAATAATCTGTGGACGAGCATTATAAAAGAAAATTAATTAATAGTGCAACACATGGTGAGAAAGTTTCCCAGCTGTTTATTAATGGATTATCTGGTACGATCTTGTAACTGCTTCCATCTAAAGTCCTCTGTTGTGATATGCTCATAGGAGATTTTACAGCAAAAATGTTGCTTGTATAATTTGAATTAAGAAAGTATTTCATAGTTCTGCAAAAGAAATGGTTTAGAATGTGCATGTGAATTGTATGCTTCTGTGTCTTAAATATTAACTTTTATTTTTGTAAAAATGTTTGCATCTTGTAGTTATCATAAGAATCTCACTTAACAACTTTTTTTTTAAGCGGCAGTCCTCTTTTTGTATTTAAAATATTTCAGTTTAGAGCAAATTAAGCTTTTTTAACTTTGATTGCCTTTATTTAATTATTTTTCAAAATAATTTTTACCATCTAGTCTAAAAGCTTTTCTGTAGAGACCATAGTAATGTGTTAAGTGTTCTGTGTTATTCTGAAGAGTTAGTTCTTTGTATGAAGAGTATTTTGATCATCCAGTTCTACCATGTGTTGTGGACTTAGTGTCATCCTGGCTTCCAGCTTGCTGATGACAAGGCTCAGAATGGTCAGAATTTGTTTGACCATATAATCTAGAGTGTATGTGTGCACAAATAAAGTGCAGTTGGTGTAGTTTTGATCGTTAATATGTGGAAGGTGTGCATACAGTTTGGACCAGATTGTCAGCAATTTAACATACTTTTTCAGTCAGAAGTATGAAGGTATTTGTTTTACACACAATGAGAGGTCTGCTGTAAAATTTTCTCTCCATAAGAGTTTTTATTATAAATTATTAAAAATACACTAGTTTAAAAGAAAATCCAAAGAGAAGTTCAGCTTCAGTTACCCCTTCTTGAAGAAAATGCTTGGGTCTTAGTACACATTCTCATTAGAAATCACATTTTATAGCATTTTCCATGCTTCACTTTCGTGTGCAGTCTGAATGATAGGAATGAAGTCATCAGAGCTGTTGTAAATTTATTTGATGTGCTCACCTTACAAAAGTAATTTACTTCCATCTGTATATAGCACTGTATAAAATTGTCACTGTGAATTGTTTAAATAAAACTGTAGATTATATGTTTTTCTCATTAATAAAGATTGTACAAAATATGATATTTTTACCTTTAGGTTTTATTTGGTATTATTTAAATTAGAAACAAGTTGTTAATTGGTTCTCCTTTAAGTTTTATTTTCATTGTGTAATTTTAGGAGCAATATTAAGAAAACGGGTTTGGTACACCCTGTGCTTTGTTTGCATATAGGTTGTAGATTGTAAAATCTGCAACTGGTCAGTAGTTTGAATGGAATAATTTTAGGAACAGTTTGATGGTCAAAATAGATAAATGATATTTATTGAAGTTTTGTAAAAGAAGTGTACTGCAATAACAATATAAAAATTTAACAAAGATTGCAGTCTCAGTTATTTAAGCATCTTAATAGATAAATTCATAGCACAAATCAATCTGTTTGCTGCATGAAGTCATGTAATCTTAAATCCATTTTTATTTCATAAAATTACAGTATAGAATCTATAACTGACATAATTTTTCTCCTCTAAAATGCATACTGTTATCTACACAGAATTGCAGAGTCCAAAAATTATTTTTTGGCTAATAACAGTTCAGCAAGTTTCATGAAATTTGATATGTATATATGTATAATCATAAGATTAATAAATATATAATAGAAATTTGGAAAAATGTAGTTGTTTTGTCAATTTGATATCATAAGAACTTTTAATACCTAATGTTGGTGTTTACTTAGTAAGGTTGCTATCAGAACATTACCTTTTTGGCCCATTGTGGATTACTATAAAATTTCTGATATGTTAGGAAAACAGCAAATTCCATTACTTAATTCATATGCTATTGAAAATATATTACTTTGTAAAATATAGTAGAATATTAAGTTATAGTCACATATTGTGATGCTAAAAGAGTGTTTATAAAATAAAACATTATTAAAAAAAGCAGAAGGTTATGATTTCATAATCTTTAAAAAAATAAGTATACTGTAGCAATACAAGAAGGGAGAAATAGTTCTTCCTTATATCGGGTTTAAACTCTCTGATTGCATGTCCAGTCTAAATATTTGTAATTTAACATTTTCTGAAGCAGAAAAATTTTAATAATATGTCTCATTTAAAAGTAACAAGAAGTGTTTTTTTCTTTTTTTTTTTTTTTAAATTTTAATCATTTGACACAGTTTCAGTTAATGTGGAATTATCATTTTTATGACAAATGAATTTTATCCAATATTCAAAATAAAATTTCTTGTGCTACAATTAGGAATTGATTGATAATAATTTCAATTTTAGTGATGCCTAAAAGTTTTAGCTTCCAAAAAATTGAAAGATAACAATTGTGTAGGTATCATTTTTTATTCTACATGTCATATTGTTAACTGCAATTATTGCAGATGCTTCCCACCTCATCAATGAGTTTATATATCATGAATTTGTTCCTAAAATGTTACTAGGTTCACTATGCATACCTCTTAATGATGTTTATGAGATAATTATGAATACTATTAAATAAAGAAATGAAATAATACATTTTGAATACAGTATATCACAAATAAACATTTATAACTAAGTAAATAATTACTTTACTATATAATGCATACCTTGGATTGTCATCTTTGAGGCAAGTGTGAATGGGTTGAGGATGAGACTAATAGATCTTTACATGGGTGAAGGTGAATCAACATCTAAGTTGTTGTCTGAAGACTTAATCAGTAAGTAGAGGTTGCAACATTTTTAGTGCAATGTTGAAGCTGCACAAGAGGGTGAGGTGGAAGGAGTTGGCATATTAGATGGGCCAGCAACACTGATTTCTGGTGTGTTATTATTAAAAAAGTAAATGCCTAAACTTGTCTGAATGGGTTTCCTTTTTCTTTTGTCATAAATAAGGCAGCAGCATTGTGTGCCATCATGCATATCAGATTTCATTCTTTGAGAACTGCTGTGGAAGTTCATAAGATGGCAACCGTCTATTCCATTTTATTAGCTGAATATTCCAAAGTTGCCATTATTACATTTTATGAAATTCTCAGTGCATTTTCTGCTGTTGCATCCGCAAGATTATAATAAACAATCAATTTAGATAAGTTGAATGTGATTATTTAACTCATCTAAATTTATTGATTAGATGTTGCATGTAAAGCAGCTATTGATGATTGCTGTTTTTCTCATACTTTATTATATATTGTCTACAGAATTCTTTCCATTTGGGAAGTGAGAAAAAGATATTGTACAATATAATTTCTGTTGTTGCTTACAAATTCTTGCCATCGTGATGATAATTTTTAAATACCATTTTTGAAAAATTTCTAGTTCTTAAAGGCAAAGAACTGAAGTAGTGCTTAGATGACTGTGTAGTAGTGCTTCATTTTTGAATACTTTCTTTCATTGGGGGGAAGAACTTAGGAGGAGAAAAACAAATGATAATCGGAGAGTGCTATGTCTGGAGGAATATGGTGGATGCAGCAGAATTTTCCAGTCAACCTCTGTGATTTTCTAATGAGTCATCAATGCAGCATATGGTTTAGCATTATCATAATGTAGTATGATGTGCTTACTATTGAATACTGCCGACCCTCCCCGAGGGGGAGCAGTTTGTCTTGTCAGAGCTCACAGTATTTCCTAATGATGTTTTCGTAGGTAATCTACTTTTCATCACCAATTATCATCCATTCCAAGAAGGGTTCTTTCAAGTTCTAAGAAAGTAGAGATGAGCATACAATGACTTGATCATGTAAATTGTTCTCACTTAACTCATGAGGCACCCATCTGGAATATTTGTAGACCAATCCTAATTTCTGAATATGGTTCAAAATAGTTTGATGAGCTGAATTAAGCTTTCCCAAAATCTCATATGTTCTCCAAGATAGGATCTTACATTATCATGCTTTTGATAATAACATAATCAATAAAAATGTCACCCTGAACGTGGCTTAACAACAAGGGTGAAATCACTTGCTTCAGATTTTTTGAACCTTCTCCTGTACATTCTATCCAAAATTTCATGTCCACCTGAAACTTTTATGAAATTTGAAAATGCTTCTGTAGCATTTCTACCTTATTCGAACTCGTACAAAATACAGTGTCATAAATTAATTTTATAAGTAGCCATGTTTACATGATCACATCTCACTTAATAATGAAATGAGATACTTTTGTTTCAAATAATTTAGAAGAGCACATATGTATAAATGCAATGATAGAAAGAGACAGCTACACAAATCTCAGATGAACATGTGCATGCATATTGAAACTTGAAATAACAATATTGGACAGAACTTTCCGGTAGACCTTATATTTTGCTGTTTTGGATTTGACTCAGATAAGTACACACATTTAAAATAATAATAATAATAATAATAAACAGTTAGTAATAACTTGTCAAAATTACTAGTTTAATTTGTAGAATGTATCCGTAGCATTGCAGAAAAGGTATTTTCTCTGACTTGCTGAATGGTAGCGATGAAATTTGTATGCATGAATATGTGCATACACTTAAAGAGAAATTGTAAAGATGAAGTGACTATGGTTTGGAAGAATGGGTGGAGAGTTCCACTACATTATTGCCTATCTTGTTTTATGTTTTGATATCATTCTCATGTATCTATTGATTTAACTGCCTTGCTTTTTGTGTGTGTGTGTGTGTGTGTGTGAGAGAGAGAGAGACAACTGTTCTGCGTCTTATGTCTGATTAGATTTCTGTCAACTAAATCTTTTTTTTATTTATTTATTTATTTATTTATTTATTTTTTATTTTTAATGTTTAGTTTTTTTGCAAGTTTTATTCATAAATGTTGATAGTGAATTGACTTTTTTAATTGCTCTGATTAAAGAGGAGGAAAGTTTTTCCATATGGTTGTAAGTGTATCTTTTAAAAGTGATTTCAGAAATGTAATTTCCGCAAACTGAAGAACTTGCATTGCTAGTTCATCTTTATCATAAAATTCGGTCAATGATTGGAAATATAACTACCATAAACTAAAAGATAACATTGGAGGAATGTTTTAAAAATGGTATATTATTGATAATGCTTTTAGTGTTTTAATTCCGTGACCTTCCATCCAATCAACTTTGTTAATGGACCAATTTTAAGAACAGAACACTTTTAGCAGAGACAGTATCTAAATAAAGTGGTTGTATCACAACCATTTATTAAGAATTCTTATTATTTACTAAGACATCTCAGGCATCCCACATTTTAAAATTAAATATCTTAGTTACTTTTAGCATTTAGAAATGTCAAAACAGGAATATGCATCATTTAAAATATTTTTATTACTTGAAGTTTATGTCTACGACCAATAATAAAAAAAGTAAAGACTGGTAAAAACCCTAATGGGCACTATGTGTATTGCTGTCAAGCCAAAGGAAAACTTCACATTTTGACATATTAATAAATAATGAAATGTGATAATAAGTTGATCAGCATAGTTTATGTCAGGTTAGGAATCAACAATTTTGACACAGAACTTTAATTTCTTAACTTTGGTTTGAAACATGTTCATAATTCTTCACTAATAATTTCAACTAACTCTTCACGTATTATTAAAAAATATTGTGTATTTCTTTATCCTTTTAAGCCTTTTTTTGATGAGATAATAAATAAAAATTCGTAAAATTCAGCTAAGAAACTCAAATAATGTATTCTAGTGTTTTATAGATCCAGTTCATAATACCATTCATTACTGTTGTTCCATCCATCCTATCTTGTAACATTCATCTCACTAGAGGGTGCTGTGACTCCCCTTCCCAAACCAGCAGACTCTGTAAATTACGAGCAGGGCGAGTATCCTGTTTGGCTCCTGCGCCATATTTTGTAATAGCCATCAGTGCTAACAAGAGCATGCAGCTCTGATCCTTATGGCCCTTGTGCCTTTTCATTGATGAATAAACTTTTATAATTGTCTGTAGTCTACTATCTTTTTGATGAATCTCAACTCTCTAACAAACTGTCACAAAATGCAAGTTAATATTACATAAAAATTGTATAGTCTCATTAAATTTTTGAAACATAGTTTGTAGAGAGGTCAGTCAAAAAGTAACATACAATTAACTGTAAGCCTTAGAGAAATTAAATTTCAGAAACAGAAACACCAGTTTCCTTTGGTCCTTATGGAAATATTCCTCAGTTTATGATCCATTTGCTTTTGCACTGTTGCTGTCTTTGTTTCCATGATATAAATGTATGCTCATTCCATTGACTGTCTTTTGCTCTCGAAATTGAAATGAATGAGCTAGGTTTCATAACATGATAGCTCCCAAAATCATTCTAGGTTGTTTCAAATATTCTAAGATCTATAAATCGACATCAATCACTTTAAAATGTAACTTTTAATGTGTACACTATTTACAGATCATTAATCAAAGCATGGTGGTTCAGTTGACAAATAAATCTATATGCTTTCATTATCGAAAATCAAAATCAAATAGGAACCAAAGTGTTCCTAATCAAATAGTGTGCGAACCATCAGACATCCATCTATCGAACTGCAGGTGGAGAGTCTATGGAAATTCAGAAGGCACGTTGCGTCGCGTTAACAAGCAACGCTAGCGCCATCTATCAATTAATCAAAATAATTTCCACACACTCCCCACCTGAACTCTGTCAAGAGTTCACATTAATCTAACAACAATCAAATTTATACTAATAAGTATTTTAACATATAATTATAAAACAAT